CCCAACCCCCCCCCACCTCCAACCCCCCCCCCAGCCCCCCCACCCCCCCCCCAGGAGCTCTCCCCCCCACCCCACAACTCCACCCCCCACCAGGAGCTCTCCCCCCCCCACTCCAACCCCCCCCAGGAACTCTTCCCCCCCCCCACTCCAATCGCCCCCCCACCATTCCACCCCCCCCCCCGAGCTCTCCCCCGCATCCACCCAAATCCCACCCAGGAGTTCTCCCCACCCCCAACCCCCACTCTTTCCACCCAGGAAGCTCTCCCCTCCCCTCCCCATCCAAGGAGCTCCCCCCTCAACCCCCACCCATGGAGCTCTCCCCCCCAAAAAAATGAATGGAGATTTTTGATGTCCTGGCAAAACGGCATTACTTGATGAATGGAGATTTTCTTGATGTCCTGGCAAACGGCAATTACTTGTGCATATTTTTTGAGATGTTTTGACATTAAAGGTGCTTTATTAAATTAAGGATATTATGATTATTTCAAGATAAAAAGCAGTGGTTTTAACCATTTGCACTAATAGCCCAAGTTAGTTGTTTTGCCTTTGTCTCCAAAAAATGCTTACTGTGTTGACCCAATCTTCTGAGCAAAATCGCTGAGTGTTCCCAGGGACTTCTGTGTTTTTTCAGATTTCCAGCATTTGCAGTATTTTGCATTTGGAGTTATCGGGTAATTTGTTTTAGATCAAAATTGCTATTGCCAAACTTATTAGAGGATACTCTTAGCTTCCCATACACCAGATTTCTTTTGAGGAAAAACTCCTCTGAATGAAGAAAAAAGGTTTTATTCTTTGAATGACAGTATCCTTCCCACTATCAGATCCTATTGCCTATACGCCATATGATGAATCTTATACTTCCTCTTTTCTTCCAAGACTCTTATCTCAAAATAAACTGAAGTTGTCTAACAGGAGAACTTTTATTATTGTGCAGAAACAAAAAAGAGACATGTGAGCAACTACCCCTATTGCATTAAAATGTCTCAAGGGCGAGGCCTTGGGCAAGTGTCCTTACTCCACATGCCTGATAATAATCCCTCAAGAAAATAAAGAAATAATAATTTGGTCACTCAATCCATGACTGTTTGTGGGATAACTGCTGTGCACATTTGGCTGCCGCATTTTGCCCACAAATATACATTCAATTCATTTTACAGTATATTCTATGAAGCGCTTTTGAGGCACCTGGAAGAAGTGAAAAGCGCTATAACAAATGCAAGGATTATTATTATTATCTGAGTGTATTAAACCCTGGTCCCTATAGATTGAGCTGTTTGACATGGTAGATGATATGATGCTGCATACCCCTTTACAATGGTTACATGTTCTCAATTAGATACGTCTTGGCTGATGTATATATATTTGCTAAAAAAACACATTATGAGTTGACAGAGTTTCTCCCAGTGTCCTGGCCAACAATCCCCCAATAAAACTGATCTTTCACTTGATGCTGTGTGTGGGACATTGTTGTTTGCAAATTAGTTGTTATGATATGCTCACATACAAAATACAGTCAATCCGATTTACAATATATCCTGTGAAACTCTTTGATATGTCCTCCCAATGTGGAAGGCACTATACCAAATGCAAGGATTATTAGAATTATTATTATTATAGACTGACAGGTCAGATTGGTATCTTGTTAGAATTGCAGATAACTGTGTCAATACTTGTAGATATTTGTGCATTTAAAGCATTATCTGAGTATTAGTGAAACCAGTTACTTCGAAGTGCTGATATCTGCTACCACTAACCATGCTGCAGAATCCTGGGATGTTCAAGCCCTGTGAGGTCCCACTTTCTTCTCCCAATCTTGTGAGCAATTGTAACTGAAGGAAAGGGTTCATTTATTAAAATTATCACTTTGAAGAGTAACATGATCTTTTTCTGATCTAGAACTAAATGCATATTTCTTTTGTGGACCTTCAGCTCTTTTCGTTAAGACAAATACTTCGGGAAAGATATTAAAGTCTTAGAGGGGATGCAGAGGAGGTTTACGAAAATGATTCCGGGGATGAAGGGCTACAGTTATGAGGATAGATTGGAGCAGCTGGGTCTGTTATCACTGGAACAGAGAAGATTCAGATGGGACCCAATAGAGGTACACAAAATTATGAGGGATTAGACAGGGTAATAGGGAGGAGTCATTTCCATTGATAAGGGAGCCGGTGATGAGGGGACAGAGTTATAGATAGCCACAAGAATAGTGAAAGGAGAATTTAGTAGGATTTTTTTCACCCAACAACAACCAAAAGATTACATTTGTATAGTGGCCTTTCACGTCGGGAGGACGTCCCAAGGCGCTGGACAGTGTACAACATTTCAGACCCGAGCTGGGGTCAGGGCGGGAGAAGGGAGGGGAGGGGAAGGGGGGTGGCCAATGGCATGGTCGAAGAGGAGGGTTTTGAGGCGGGACTTGAAGGAGGTTAAGAAGGGGGTGAGGCGGAGTGACCAGGGGCTGGAATTCCAGAGGTTGGGGGCAGAGTGGCTGAAGGCTCTCCCGCCAATGGTGGGGTGGGTGGGTCAGGGGACGTGGAGCAGGCCAGAGCCGGCTGAGTGGAGGGAGCGGGCGGGTTAATAGGGAGTTAGGAGGTTGCAGAGGTAGGGTAGGGCGAGGCCATGGAGGGCTTTGTAAGTGAGGACCAGGATCTTGAACTGGATCCCTTGAAGGATAGGGAGCCAATGGAGTTGGGCGAGAGTTGGGGAGATGGCGCCACAGAGTTTGATGCGGGAGAGTTCAGAGTTCTGGATTATCTGCAGCCTATGGAGGGAGGGGTTGGGACGGCCGACAAGCAGCACGTTTGCATAGTCAAGCCTGGAGGTGATAATAATAATCCTTGCATTTGATATGATAATAATAATAATAATCCTTGCATTTGATATAGCGCTTTTCACGTCGGGAGGACGTCCCAAAGCGCTTCACAGAACACACTGTAAAGTGAATTGACTGTATATTTGTGGGCAAACGCGGCAGCCAATTGCGCACAGCAATGTCCCACAAACAGTTGTAGATTGAAAATGACCAATTTATTATTGTTTTTGGTTTTGGAGGGATTATTATTAGGCTCTGTGTGGAGTAAGGAAACTTGCCCAAGGTTTCGCCCTCTGCCTGGAATTGAACTCAGGTCTCTCACTTGCAAAGCGAGTGCTCTAACCACTGAGCTGCAGGACTCCACTAAAGGCATGAACAAGAGTTTCAGCGGCCTGAGGGGTGAGATAGTGACGGAGTCGGGCGATGTTACGGAGGTGAGGGAAGGCAGAGCGGGTCATGGCTTGGATGTGGGGAAGAAAAGACAGTTGAGGGTCGAACAAGACACCGAGGTTCCTGACTGGCGGTGAGTTGAAGTGTGCAATCATGGAGGTTGATGCTGCCAGAGCCTGAGGTGCTGAGGTGTTGGCGTGAGCCAATCAAGCAGGATGGTGGGATAAGGCAGGATGGTGGGATAAGGCAGGATGGTGGGATAAGGCAGGATGGTGGGATAAGGCAGGATGGTGGGATAAGGCAGGATGGTGGGATAAGGCAGGATGGTGGGATAAGGCAGGATGGTGGGATTAAATTGATCTCCTTGCTCTGTGAGCCAGTGTGGCTGAATGCCCTCCTTCTACACTGTAATAATAATAATCCTTGCATTTGATATAGCGCTTTTCACGTCGGGAGGACGTCCCAAAGCGCTTCACAGAACACACTGTAAAGTGAATTGACTGTATATTTGTGGGCGGACGCGGCAGCCAATTGCGCACAGCAATGTCCCACAAACAGTCATGGATTGAAAATGACCAATTTATTATTGTTTTTGGTTTTGGAGGGATTATTATTCTATGTTTCTAAATACAACATTTGAACTTACTTTCACTGGATGAAACTATTGCAATTGGTCAAATAGAGATAAAACCATTTTCCCGGAGGTTAGATAAGCTAAGGTGGAATGTACCTTTTTTTAAAAAAATAAGTACTGCCTGAGACAGGTAAAGGAATGTTCTTCAAACGTTCTGATGTGGAAAATGAGGTTACATAACATTCTGCAGAATAAAATGAGACAAAATGTCAACAGTGAGAACCACTCTGCAGTAGTTAATTTTTTTTGGTCAGTTGGGAGTCTGACACTTGCAGAAACCCATCACTATGCTTAAGAGTATCCAAACCAAACTATTAGTTCAATGTGTCCTAGGCCTGGAGACCCCAGAGTGTGTGTTGAGGTACTGCTGGAGTCTAACCAGCTAAAACCGCATAGCTTGCCATTTGAAAGCACTATCATGCAAGCTGTCCTGCTGTTTGTCCAGCTAGGACCACCCTATCTGTTAGGGCTTTGGCTTGCAGGGTTAACAAGAGCTGAATGGGAAGAATACCTGATCCCAATGACTGGTCTGCCCTTCCAAGTTCTGTCAAATTGCAACAGGTATAAATAAATTCCATTTTTTTTCAGATGATTATTTCAAAAATTCTATAATGTTTGACAAATACATTTCTACTCAAGTTATTGGAAACAAATCAGAATTTTTACCAAATCAATTTTGAGTCAATAATTAAAATCAATAATTGACACATTCATAGTTTTAGCAGAAAGATTGTGGGGATTGATTTTGTCTAACCAATTGTTTCTGACTTATACAAGTAATTTGCTTACATTGGCTTACTAAACCTTCTAAACTAATAAAGACAAAATGTCTGTCTGTCCACCAAGAACGCAATAACTGATTGACTTAGAAACCTCATCGGAAAGGTCTTGCATGGGATAGTGTCATGAACTTATTTTTTGGTGGGATCTCTTATCGTTGATGAGCTATATTAAAAAATGCTTTAATTAATCCCCAAAATATGAGGTCTGCATGGTATTCTGCAACAAAGTAGCGACAACAGAAATCACACACCTTTCTAGAGAGAAACATCTATCTATACAATAGACAAAATGTCTGTCTGTGTGTCTGTCCGCCAATACCACAATAACCGATTGACGTAGAGACATGATTTATACCTCATCGAAAAGGTCTTGCATTGGGGAGTTTCATGGGCATATCTTGGTGGGGCAATCTCCTATCATTGATGCGCTGTGATCTAAAAAAAGCTCATCACACATGTATGGATTACTCAAACACACTCCTCACTGGTCTCCCCAGCTGCACTATTCAAAAAATCCTGGTCATTCAGAACTCTGCTGCCCACATACTCACCCAGACCAAACTCAGTACCCCATCTTACCAGTTCTGGCCAGGCTCCACTGGCTCTCCATCACCGAACAGATCGATTTCAAGATCCTCACACTCGTATTCAAATTATCACTCCCTGGCACCTCCCTATCTCTCACACCTACTTACTCCCCAATCCACCACCCGGCACCTACGCTCGACTGGCACCTGCTTATCCCTCGCACTGTCCGCTCCACCATGGTGGTCGCGCTTTCAGCCACTAGGCCCCGAAACTGGAACACTCTCCCTCATTCCCTCTGCCTTGCCCCCTCCCCTTTTTCAAGTCCCGTCTGAAAACCTTCCTTTTTGATTGTGCTTACAGTCACCTCCCCCCCAGCCCCCCACTCAGAGTAAGGCTTTGCCACTATTAAGCGCTCTGAGAAGCTACCCTGCGTGGAGGCTGCTATACGTGCAAGTTGTTGCATAGTAGTTTTGCTTAAGGTGTGCACACAGTATTTATAGCATGGTTTGTGAGAGGTATCACTGAAATCAACATTCCATATTGGATCCTTTGGTTGCAAGCGTAGCTGCAACGGGTACAGCTTATATCTAATAAGTTCGGCATTTTGGGGACTACGAAAATGATTACTTGAACAAATCCATTTTGTTTGTGACTGAAATGAAAAGTAATGCATTTTTCTCTGTCTCCTTGCTATGCAAGGAAAGTTTGATATTCTCTACTAGTTTGTTACTCTAGTTGATTATTTTCTTTATAAACAGTTCGGTAGGGATACTTTGCATGCAAATTAATTTGTTAATAATATCATTCCTCATTGTAATCAAACATTGTTATAATGGCTTAAAATTACCAAATTCCCATTATATTGTAAATGTGTTTGATTTTTTTATTTGCTAAACTTACTTTTCAAACAACTAAACCTGAACTACCTGTTTTTTGCATCCTTCCATTCAAAAGATATGTGAAGACATCATGAAGGAATTTTTTATTGATCATTAATCTTTAATTTACCTCTCCATCAGATTCTGCCGTGTGTGTTGATTATGAGCAACTGGTTTCACATCCAAATGACGTGTCATGGAATGAAGAGAACTGGGTACGATTACCTCCACTTTTAAGATGTTGGTGTAGAAATAAGAAGGTTGAACATTTGTTCAAAAAACTAACACCTGCTCCTTTAGACTTTCAAAAGTTATGAGAATGTTTCAAATGCTGAAGGGCAACACAGTAAACTGAAATAGGCCTTGTTGAGCAATTGAATAGCACTTTTAGGTTTGGATTCTATTACTACCTTCACTTGACAGTAGCTGTTTCTGAGGTTGAGGATACATAAAAAATCAGCTGTGGCTCAAATAATTTCATCCATTCAGGGCAAAATAAGTGAATCTGTGTTTCATTGTTCTGACAACGATAGTCAATAGAGAACCGCAAGGTGCTTCTTACCAGCATCGTTGGTGATGTCCATGGACTTTATGATGGTTCAGTTACCTCAGTCTTTAGCATGTTTCTGATTTTATCTTTGTCATTAGCAAGACGTGTCGTATGGATGGGGCAGTTTCCCATCTGTATTGAATGCTGTACTTTTCCGATCAGTCCTGTATCATTGGCAGTCAATAAAAAGATATCCTGAAACTCCCAGATACTTGGAGTATATTTTCTTTTGAACTCCATTTTACCCCACTTCTCACAGTGGTACAGAACGGGTCAGGTATTAATTCCTTCAGTGAGGTGGGTGGCACTGGGAGCTATCCTCCATTCTGTTGTATGAGTTATTGGATGTAAAACAGGTGACCTTGTAGATTCAATGGGAGGTTAAAGAAAGCCCAGAGAGGAATGATGGGTGGGGGTGTGGCGGAGAGTAAAACATTTTTAAGCTTGTAGTAGAAAGCGTTTTCATTTGAGAGGTGTCACACAACACATTTTGGCTTGTGATAAGGCCCACCTGGAAAGTCTACAATGTGGTGTGTTTGACCGAGGCCTGTACAACTGATTTACCCACGCTCTTAATGGATCCATTCCAGTAATCGTTTTGCATTCAATAGTCATGTTGCAGCTGAATTATGCTTGAATATGTTATGCTGATTGTATTCATTTTAGAATAGCTGAATAAGATGCACAGAATGGATTCTTATTAAAGCTTAAGTACCTTCTAAATATATATTTAGAATTGTATTATTTTATTATGCTGCTAAATAAATATTAACTGTTCAACTGACGATTCATTTTTATAATGTCAATAAAGCTTACAAGTAATTGAAAAACTGTTTCTGTAGCAAACGCACGAATAATTTCATACCTGCTGCCCTTAACAATTGTACATTTTTCTATGATAATAATCCTTACCTCTATAAGTGACTTTACCTCAGGGACTGTCTGAATGAGCAGAAGTAGCTGAATGATGAACAACAATTACATTTATCTGATTCATCTATTAGCAGTGACAAAATAATTAATGCATTTTACTTCATTCAGTTGCTTAGATAACTGGATTATGGTGGTTTATAGAAATAAAATCACAGCATGACACCATATAACTCAAGCAAAATTAGCTATTCCAGCCACACTATTCGGAATCATATACCATAGGAGGAGGCCATTCTGCCCATTGACTTTAAACTGATGTAAACTAAACTACTGCAATTATCTACCATAAACCCATTCGCATGCTCATATTCTGTATTTTTTATATTGTGTCTCTTTAAATGTTAATCCAATTGCCTTATATATTTTGGTATTCTAGTTTCAATCAACATTTTTGTATATGCATTTTTTATTCTGAATTAATATTTAGATTGGCTTTTCTAGTTTTTATTTTACCCTGCTTTTGTTTCTCTTTATAATATAGCATGTGAGGTGCTTTGAGATCTCCCATATATGGAAAACACTATATCAGATTCAAAGATTATTAATATCCACTCGAACTACAAAATCAATTTTGTTTTAATGTTCTAAACGCCTTTTACTTATTCGTATTTTTCCATATTAGCTTTCAACCTGTTATGATTTATTAGGGGTGAATTGTAATTTATAGTTACTGCAGTAGTTCCTTTTAGTATTTTCAGTTTTACAGTATTTTTGTACTCTAGTTAATATTTATGTAACTTATTTACGTCATCATTCTTTTAAGTGTCAGCCTGGCTCATTTAGCAGCTCTCTCAGCTCTTGAGTCAGAAAATTGTGGGTTGAAGCCCCACACAGGACTTTAAACTTGCAGATTAAGCTGAAACTCCAGTAGAATGCTGAGGGAATATCGTTGGAGATGCTGTTCTTTGAGTGAGACTTTAAACTGAGGGCCTGTCTGGCTGTTCAAATGGACATTAATATCTTATAACATTATTTGAAACGGGAAGAGAATTTCTCCCAGTGTCCTGGCCAACAATCCTCTAGTTAAAATTGGACAAACATTTCATGTTTGTTGCTTTGTGCTAATTGTTCACCTCGAAAATACATGTTATAGTAAAACCTGGGAAGCGCTTTAAGAATCCTGACATGAAAGGAGGTATATCAAATACTATTATTATTAGAGATCAGATACAGAATAGGGTAAGGGAATATCCTTAGGGCAAATTTATTGTTCAATAGACTGAGTAAGGACCTGACATGACCTCCAGTAGAGTGTGATCTTTCTACGCAATTTTTGTAAGTAAATGTAAGGACCTGAATTTCCTATGAGTATACTTATGGTCTTTTTACAGGACTCTTTTTGTGAAAAAAAAGTCCTCCAATTTTCACCTCTTCTAATGGTGTTATGGCCTCGTTTTTTTTTCTAGGATCAGTTCAACAGGACCTGGTTACCCTCTGACATGTCAACACGTGACTATTATTCATGTGTGAGCTATGATAGTGAGTGTTGGCAGGTTAGTCGATCGTATGTGTGTGTGTGTGTATATATATATATATATTTCAAATGACTTGGATCTTGCTATCTAAAACCAACTAGAAGGGACTGCTATATTGTGATCAGAAGGATGAACATTGGCTGGTTTCCCCTTCCCTAACCGAAATGCAAAGAGTAATTGCCATTGTAGTGTAATTGTCATCTCTGCTGCAGCGTGGCTGACACCAGCTCACCAGACCAAAATGGCCAGTCTCCATAGAATCATAGAATCGTACAGGACAAAAAGAGGCGATTCGGCCCATCGAGTCTGTGCCGGCTCTTTGAATAGAGCAATTAATGTCAATCCCACTCCCCAGCCCTTTCCCCATAACCCTGCAAACCCATCCTCCTCAAATACCTGTCCACCGCGTTTTTAAAGTAGTTATCGAATCGGCGTCGACCACCCTTTCAGGCAATGCGTTCCAGATTCGAACAACTCGCTGCGTGAAAAAATTTCTTCTCACCTCCCCTCTGCTTCTTTTAGAGACTATTTTGTGACCTTGAGTCACCGACACACCCACCAGTGGAAACAGTTTTTCCCTTTCTAACCTATCAAGTCTCCTCATGATTTTGATGACCTCTATTAGGTCTCTTCGTAACCTTCTCTGCTCCAATGAGAATAATCCCAGCCTCTCTAGCCTGTCCTCATAATCAAGGTCCCGCATTCCTGGTGGCATCCTCGTATATCTCCTCTGCACCCTTTCCAATGCCTTAATCTATTATCTATCAAAACTGTTCCCTCGCTCTCATTGAATTTGTCAGAATATCTATGACAATATCTAATAATTAAGGTAGTCCTTTACTAAATTGACTTAATCTGAACCACCTCTGCTGTACCGTCAAGGCATCTAGATTTTAAGTACAGATTTGTCTTTTTGGACGTGCATTGGAGCATCCCAAATTGCAAAAATAAATTAATTCACTTATTTTTTCAAATGGATATGCTTAAATACAGGTGAACAATATCAAAGGTTGATTGAATTAATAAAAAATGGAAAACAAACTGATCTCCAGACAGTTAAATATAAAGAACAGCAGCATAAACCATAGTGCATAACCACCATTTTTTTTTGTTTTAAAGGTTACAAAACATTTGAAAATGTTCCGATGATGTACTTTATTATTAATGACACCTAACCCATAATAAAAGTCTATCAGAACAATTTGATTTAGTTCCCTCAGTGTAGCTGAAGATCAGATACTGTTTTTCAATATTTGATAAGAAAACCGTTGCAGAATTTGTGATGGAAAATAAGCCCAGTACTACACCATCATATGTTTGCAGGTTGTCTTATAGTTATTATTGGATAGTAATGGTATATTGTATGCTTTGAAAAGTAAGCTAAACATTACTGTGTAAAGTTGCAACATAATCACACATTCTTGGGTGTTTAAAACTCTTAAGACCTAAATGTAATGTGAGGAAAATGTAAAAACCATTTGAGGAAAAAGTTATCTGTGTAGCCCAGCCAGGGAAGATGCAGGAGAATGGTATAGTAGTGGAACTTCTTAAAACCTTAACCATGACCTATTGTGCTTTAGAGAGGTAGGATGTGGGTTCATACCTATGATTCTATGTTGTGAGTTATCAATTTTAATAATATTTTGGGAAAAATCCAAGCAGAGCTAGTTGTTTATCCAAACGGAAAATTTTGCCTACATCAAAACAGATGTTTTCAGATTGCAATTGATAGAGGACTAAGGTCATTATGCCAGGGAAGATCAATTAATGATCAGTTAATATGCAGCAGGTCAGGCAGCATCTACGGAGAGAGAAAAAATGGTTAACTAATTTTCCCCTCTCCATGGATGCTGGCTGACCTGCCGCATGTTCCCAGCGACTTCTGTTTTTATTTCAGATTTCCAGCATCTGCAGTATTTTGCCTTTTAATTAACATGAAGCCCAGTTAGTCAGAACACTGAGAGATACTCACTTTTTCTAATTCTCTTTGCAAATAGTTATGCACTCTTTAATAGCCAACTAAACTGGCAGATCGAGAATTCTTAAAATTATATTATTCTTGGTAACATCAAAACTGTTCATTCTTCTCAACTGCACAGATTCTATGTTCTTGAATATCTCTAATATCACTTCATCTAATTTGATGTTGAGATTAATTGGTTTTCAGAGTAATAATTACAGATTTGTTTGTCACAGTGGTAGATTGTCACACAGGCAAGCGCTCTAGGATACTACCCCGCTTGAAGGGTCCTATATGAATGCAAGTTGTTGTTGATACCACAGAGAAACATTTCAAGGTGTTTTTGTTGTATAAAAGGGGTTTGGAAGTCCAACCTAATTTAAATGTTGACTAAGCCTGGCCTTTGATGAATCCTTCTTTTAATTTTCGTTTTGAATATTATGGCTACATGTGAGTTCACGTTTCTGGTTTGGAAAACTGGCCTCTTGAACATTCAAATTTGGGGAATTGGTAAATTAACATACATCAACAGCTTTAGTCCATTTTGCATGTGGCTGGAGCAGTCAGCAATGACTCAATAATGTAACAAAGGCTCAGCAAACATCATCAAACAATAACGCTTCTAAGGGAATTGCCACCTTGATCAAATTAAATGACTCACTGATTTAATTCCGTGTGGGATCCAGTTTGTTTTTATGGCTTCTAATCACAGTAGAAAAAAATATTTTATTATTAGTGTTTAAGACTAATAGCTGAATTAACTGCAGACATTTGTGCAAAGTAACCAAATACTTTAAAACCTTACAGACTATTCCCAATGGATATGCACAGAGGGAAACCAAGTGGAATGGTGTTCCAACATTTAGAGGCAAACAAGATCATAATGGACAACAACGACCAATTGAAAGACGCCATTCTGGTCAAGGAGATGGTACAAAAAAGGGTAAAAGAATTATTAATATCTAGATAATATAATTGCAAATGTGCCGAATATATTATGAGTCCACTGTATTATACTATTGTACATTATATAATAATAATAATCGTTGCATTTAATATAACACTTTATCATGTCTTCAAGACATCTCAAAGCGCTTCATAGAATATACTGTAAAGTGAATTGACTATATTTTTGTGGGCGAAACTCGGCAGCCAATTACACACAGCAATGTTAAATTATACTGAAACTCTCCAAGGCCCACTCTCGACTCTGGATCGGAAGGTTTAAGTTCAAATCCCATATTGGGACGTGGACTTGCATAGTCTAAGTTGACACACTACCTCAGTGCGGCGTATGTTGCATTGTCAGAGGTGTCTTCCTTCGGATGAGATGTTAAAATAAGGTCCTGTCTGCCTATCCAGGTGGATGTTAAAGCTCCCATGGTACTTTTTGAAAAGAGTAGGGAATTTCTCCCAGTGTACTAGTCAACAATTTCCCCCAAATAAAATTGGTCATTTGTTTCAAGCTGTTTGTGGACATTGCTGTGCACAATTGAGCCTCATGTTCACCTACAATACGCAGCCACTCCACATTAAATCCTGTGAATTACTTTGAGACATCCTTCCAAAGTGAAAGGCGCCATACCAAATGCAAGAATTATTATTACTCATAATATATTCAATTATTTTGGATTCCCTCCGACTCCCCCCACTCCCCTCACTCACCAATTTCAAGGTCCATCTCAAGATGTCCCTCTTCAACCACGCCTTTGGTCATTTTTCCTCTCTCTACCCCATCATTGTGGAGTCCTGTAGCTCAGTGGTTAGAGCACTTGCTTTGCAAGCGAGAGACCTGAGTTCAATTCCAAGCAGGGCGAAACCTTGGGCAAGTTTCCTTACTCCACACGCCTAATAATAATCCCTCCAAAAAACAAAACAATAATAAATTGGTCATTTTCTATCCACGATTGTTTGTGGGACCTTGCTGTGTGCAATTGGCTGCCGAGTTTCGCCCACAAGTATACAGTCAATTCACTTTACAGTCTGTTCTGTGAAGCGCTTTGAGATGTCGAGAAGACGTGAAAAGCGCTATATCAAATGCAAGGATTATTTTTATTATCGCCATGTAAATATATATACATATATATTAAAGCAGGCATAACCAGCACACCAAAGGTTCCTGGGATATTTAGTATAAAATGCCCACTAAACGGAGGTAGTGTTTGATATGAGACGGAGACTATCTTACTTTCTCAAACTCTTTTGCCTGTTGAATCACGCGAGAGGGTGAATTTTTCTTTGAACAAGGGAGACCACCATCTCAAGGGGAACTGATCCTCCTTTGCTTGAAGCGAGGATAGCAGAGACATGGACCGTGAACAGGCTGAATGCAATTAGAAGGATGTAGGAATGGCGATGCTATTGTTTGCATTCAGCAGGAAGATTGTCCAGAAGGAGCTGGGATTTCTTCTGGAGGAGTTGAGTTGGCTGATAAAGCTGTGGGGAGAGGAGAGTTTTGATATCGTTTTGTGAATCAACTGGTGAAGTAATTTGGGGAAAGCTATGAAGAGAAGAAGAAAGAGAAGCCTCTGTGATTATAACGCAGAGGCTCTGTTGGATCGAGAGATGAAGGTCATTACATATAATTAAACAACGAAGAAGTAAACAAGCAATACATGGAGGTTTGGCTGAGGATGCACTGTCAGGTACTGGGACCAGCATTGACGGTGAAAGATCAGGACTTTGCTTGGAACGGAGGGAGAACATTGAAAGTTCATCTGTTTCCAGATCCGCAGGTTCTGATGGTGATTAAGCATTTACCAAGCATGATAGTGTGGGAGTGCTGAGGGGTGTATCAAGGCGTGCCAAAGTTATGCAATAAATGTGGGAAGCTGGGACATCTGGCAACTGCGAGCCCTGAGACGAGGTGCAGAAATTCTGAACCGCGGGATGAGTAGGTTACAGGATTCCAAGAAATGCAATATGTTCAGCAAGGAAAGGCATCCGTACAGGACATGCCCTTGTTCTTGTGCAAATACGACAAGGGAAGAATTCAAAAGACTGAATGGAAGGGAGGCACAACGAGTCTTTGGGATGGGGTGGGGGGACAAAGGAGAAATGTAAAGGCGGGGTACGGAGAGGAAAGAGGGTGAGGGTTTGGAGTGTTTCATCCAGGTGGGGGTCAGTGAGAGAGGGGAGCAAGACCATAAGATGTAGAAGCAGGAGTAGGCCATTCAGCCCCTTGTGCCTGCCCCGCCATTTAATAAGATCATGGCTGATCTTCTAACCTAATTCCATTTACCTGCCCTATCCCCATATCCCTTAATCCCTCTATCCTTTAGAAATCTATCAACCTCAGTCTTGAATATGTTCAAGGACTGAGCATCCACAGCCTTCTGGGGTAGAGAATTCCACAAATTCACTACCCTCTGAGTGAAGAAATGTTTCCTCAACTCAGTTTGAAAAGGCTGACCCTTAATCTTGAGACTGTGACCCCTAGTTTTAGATTCTCCAACCAGGGGGAACAATTTCACGACATCTACCCTGCCAGGACCCTTAAGAATCTTATAGGTTCTATAAGATCACCTCTAGTTCTTCTATATTCTAGAGAATATAGGCCTAGTTTACTCAACCCCTCTCCTCATAGGTCAACCCCCTTATCCCAGGAACCAACCTAGTGAATCTACGCTGCACCCCCTCTTAAGCCGGGTATGTCCTTTTTAATTAAGGAGACCAAAACTGCACACATTATTCTAGGTGTGGTCTCACCAAGGCCTTATACAACTGCAGCAAGACTTCCCTACTCTTGTACTCCAACCCTTTTCCAACGAATGCCAACATGGCATTAGCCTTCCTAGTTGCTTGCTGTACCTGCATATTAACTTTTTGTGACTGGTGTACAAGGACCCAAATCCCTCTGAACACTAACACAACCTAGTCTCTTCCCCTCTAGAAAATAATCCATTTTTCTATTTTACTACCAAGGTGAATAACTTCCCACTTCCCCACGTTATACTCCATCTGCCACCTTCTTGCCCACTCACCTAGCCTGTCTATTTCCCCTTACATTCTTTGTGTGTCATCCTCATAGCTTACTCTCCCACCTATCCTTGTAACAGCCGCAAATTTAGATATGTTAAGTTCTATTTCCTCATCTAAATCATTGATATAGACTGTAAATAATTGAGGCCCAAGCACTTATCCTTGTGGCACTCCACTAGTCACATCCTGCCAATCTGAGAAGGACCCGTTTATCCATACTATCTGTTTTCTTCCTGTTAACCACTCTCCAATCCATGCTAATATATTACCTTTAATTCCATGGGCTCTAACCTTATGCAACAGCCTTTTATGTGGCACCTTGTCAAATGCCTTCTGGAAATCTAAATACACCACATTTACTGGTTCCCCCCATCTAACCTGCTAGTTACATCCTCAAAAACTCTTAAGATTTGTTAAACATGATTTCCCTTTTGTAAAGCCATGTTGACTCTGCCTAATCATGTTACGATTTTCTAAGTGCCCCACAACAGCGTCCCTAATTAAGGACCCTAGAATTTTCCCTACCACCGATGTAAGACTATCTGGTCTATAGTTCCCTATTTTTTGTTTCCCACTTCTTAAATATTGGCGTTACGTTTGCAACCCTCCAATCAATGGGAACCATTCCAGAATCCAGGGAATTTTGGAAGATCAAAAACGAAACACCCACTATCTCTGCAGCCACCTCTTTTAAAACCCTAGGATGCAGGCCATCAGGTCCAGGGAATTTATAGTTTTTTAATCCTATCAATTTCTCTAGTACTATTGCTTTACTGATGTTCATTTCTTCAAGTTCCTCACTAACATTAGCCTCCAGGTTCCCCTCTATTTTCAGTAAGTTTTCAGTGTTCTCTTATGTGAAAACAGAAGCAAAATATTTGTTTAATGACTCTGCCATTTCCCTATTCCCCATTATAATTTCTCCTGTCTCTGACTGCAATGGACCCACATCCACTTTTGATAGTCTTTTCCTCTTCATGTACTTGTAAAACTCTTACAATCTGTCTTTATGTTCCTAGCTATTTTCGTCCTCTTAATCAGTTTCTTGGTTTTCCTTTGTTGTTCTCTAAAGTCCTCCCAATGCTCAGGTTTACTGCTCTTTTTGGCAGTATTATAGGCCTCTTCTTTTAATTTTATACTTTCCCTAACTTCTCTAGTTAGCAAAGGTTGAATCTCTTTTCCCGTGGTATTTTTATTTTTGAAGGGAATATGTGATCACTGGGAATTATGTATTATATCTCTAAACATTTGCCATTATGGGATTACCGTCATAATTTTTAATCTAATTTCCCAGTCTATTTTAGCCAAATCTTCTCTCATACCTGCAAAGTTGGCTTTGTTTAAATTTAAGACCCTTGCTTTGGATTCAACTATATCGCTTCACTTTTTAACACTTAATGTTAAATTCCATCATGTTATGGCCACTCTGCCTGAGAGGAGCCTTAACTTCCAGATTGCTGATTAGCCCTATTTCATTACCCAAAACAAGATCTAGGATAGCCTATTCCCTGGTTGGTTCCTCAGCATACTGATCTAGAAAACTATCTCTAATGCATTCTATAAACTCATCCTATAATTTACTTGTGGCAATTTGGTTTTCCCAGTCTATATGAAGATTGAAATCACCCACTATTAGTGTATTACCCTTGCTACCCTTGATTGATACCTTGCCCAATACTGTAACTGCTGTTTGGGAGTCTATAAACTACTCCCACTAGTGTTTTCTGCCCCTTGTTGTTTCTTACCTCCATCCATACTGACTCGACATCCTGATTTTCTGATTTAAAATCCTTCCTCTCTACTATTTTTATCTCATCCTTTATTAGCAGGGCTACCCCCCTCACCTCATTTTCCACATTGCCTATCTTTCCTATACGTCGAATACCCCAGAATGTTTAGCTCCCACCCTTGGTCTCCCTGTAACTGCGTCTCAGTAATAGCCACAAGATCGTACCCATTTATGTCTATTTGTGCACTTAATTCGTCTAGCTTGTTATGAATGCTTCGTGCATTCAGATATAACGCATTTAATTTTGACCTCTTACTATTTTTTCTACTCGTTAATGCCCTATTTCCTTTATTGAGTATTTTGTCCCTTCTTTACACACTCTGTTCTTTATCTCCCAAGTCACTATTCTGCTCTACAGCCATGGCTGTTCCTTGTAATGTCGGTTTACGTTTAACTGTAGCTGTAACCCTCCCTCTCCCCACCCCTTAATAGTTTAAAGCTCTGCCTATCTCCCTATTTAATCGTTTTGCCAGGACATTGTTCCCAGCCCGGTTAAGGTGGAGCCCATCTCGATGGATCAGCTCCCTTTTCCCCCAATACTGGTGCCAGGGTCCCATAAACGAAACCCCTGCCTCTCATACCACTCTTTCAGCCATGCAATTAACTCTTTAATTTGTTTGTCCCTGTAGCCGTTTGCGCATGGCTCAGGTAGTAATCCCAAGATTATCACCTTGGAAGTTTGTCTTTTTAATTTCATTCCCAGTTAATTGAACTCACTCCTCAGCTCGTCACTACTACTCCTACCTATATTGTTGGTTCCTACGTGGATCAACACAATTGGATCATCCCCTTCCTACTTCAAATTCTTCTCCAGCCCTGAAGAGACGTCCTCAACAGAGCCTTCGTGACACCTGGTTGTGGCTGCAGAGCAGAGTTTCTGTCAGCCTGACTGTCTCGTCCCCTATCACAACCACCGTTTCGCTCCCCCAACTTGTGGCCTCCTGTATAGAGGTGATGGGGTTAGTTTGCCCAGCCTCCTCCTTATAGACTTACTTGTCCACACAGGTTGCAAGTACCTTGTATCTGTTGGACGAGGTTAAAGCCTGAGGCTTCTCCACCACTCTCTGGGGTTGCCGTACCTGCCTGACTGTCAGTCACACTTTCCTGTCCCTGACTACTAGCAGGATCTATAAATTTACTGAGCCTCAGGGTAGTGATTGTCTCCTGGATGAAACTCCAGGAAGCTCTCACCTTCCCTAATGCTGCGCAATATCTGCACCTCAGATTCCAGCTCAGCTACTCTAAGCAGGAACTTCCTCAGTTGCAGACACTTGCTGCAGATTTAGTTGCCCGGGCTCAGGCTGCTTTCCATCAACTCCAACATACTGCAGTCATCGCACAACACCAGCCCTGCCATTCTCTCCTCTCTCTCTCACTCTATTATGGTTTTAATTTAAGTTTTCTTTTTAGTTTTTTGGAGACTAAGAGATTCTGTCGGTGGCAGACATCATGGCCTAGATGAGTGCAAAATTCTTGCAACTAAATGTTGACAAGACAGAAGCCATACATACTCCTTGACTCTAGTCAATGTCTTCTGGCCTGCGGTTCTGACGTCTTCAATCTCCCTGGCCTATCCCTGAAGCTCATTAAATTGGTGCACAACCTAGGCGCTCCTACCTCACATCCGATCCCTGCCCAGGAACCCTTCCCCCATCTTCGCCACATTGCTTGCCTCTGACCGTACCTTATCCCAGACACAGCCAAAACACTCATCCATGCGTCCAAGAAGGGCTGAAGATGGAGGCAGCGAGTCAAACGTGATTGGTGGTTTGTGCAACAAAGGAGGCTTTTTGATGGGCAAGGAATAGACTAGTACATCAGGAAAGTGTATTAACAAAGACAGCCGGTGGCGAAGAGTATAAAGGACTGCGCTTGAAGGGATACAGAAGATGGGTGAAGAAAAGGGGTTGTGAAGATTGGAGGTTGTTGCTGTGGAACAGATCTTTTTGTGAATTGGGTAATGGGTGGACAAGAAGGGAAGGCAGCGTTGATTTACTGAAGGGTATTGTAAGTGGGGTTTTTTTACTCGTTAAATTGCATATCTCGATGTAACAGACTCGTTCGGTTAGTTTATGAGGTTGGATTAAAGTTTGTGCAGCGACAAGAATATTTAATCTTGTTTTTCTGGAGCTGAAGTGGGGTGGTGTAGTTGAGAGGGGTTTTGTTTAGGTTGTAAAGTAAGTCAGTTTCACCTCCTTGTTTTGCTGTATCAGGAATTAAAGGTTAAATGGGATGTTTTATGATTGCATACGTGATGGTGAGACTAGCATAGAGATAGCAGTCATACTAACTCGATGGAGGGTATATTTTGCAGGTGGTCGGTTTGATGGATGATTTGGATTGTTATAATTCTGCACATATTTTAGGGGTATGTTTATGCTTTTGTACAGTTTTAACCAAATAAATCTTAACTCAATAACTAACTCAATAAACTACAATTGCCTCTGTCTCTATATATTGCAAAAGTATGCTGTTATTTGGCTTAATAATGAAACTAGTTATACCGATACTTGGTCCAATCAAACCTCAGCTTGTGATGATATTTAAATTATGTTTTAGATGCAGAGAGAATTACGTACAGCAGAGATTTCCTGATGAAAATTGCTAGACTGCCTATTTCAAAAGAGAAACCAGAATTTTTGCCATCTCTTCCTGTGGTATTAGAGAGGCCAGTAAGTTATTATTTTCACATGAATTTTTTTAAAATAGCAAATTGTATTTCTGTAATGGTCATCTAATGGTGATCATTTGTAAAAGACTTTTAGTTGATAAGATTATATGAGCAAGCCTTTTAAAACACTATGAACCATAGAAATGTACGGCACAGTAAAAGGCATTCAAATTAACTGCCTCAGTAAGCAGATGAATTGGGATGTTTAAAAAGGACATACTTAGGTACTTGAAGTAAGTGTATTAAGAGATTTGGAAGGATAGGCAAATGGGAATTAAAGATCTAATATCTGGTAAGTTATAGGACAGGTAGTCATTTTTGTGCACTACAGTAATATAGTTTGATTTTCAAATTAATATATTCTGTTAATCTTGTTTTTTCACTATTTCTGTTTTTTTAAACCAGAGAGAGAGGATGTATGAAAGTGGGTCTGTGCTTTACTTACCAAAAGATGGCTACCAATCATCATGAAATTGCAGGCTGATCGACAGATATAAGTCAAGTCCTGAACTCATCTGGAAGGTGCATATATTCTGTGTTTAATATTTTTAAGCGTAACTGCTGGACTTTTGGATCTTTATGGGAAGAACTCATCCAACCTTACTCAACAACCAGAAGATTTTCAGTGATGAGGTTCATGATTAATTTCTTTGATTCTAATTAATCAAGATGGTGAAGTACCATATTTGTAAAACAGCACTTTTGGTAGAGTTTGTGCACTTGAAATAAATTGAAAATGGGTAAAAAAGATTTTTCATGTAGCAAATGAACTGCATAGAAAGGACAAACTAATATTTGTTGTGTCTATTGAGGGGTATCTTGAACATTGGCATCTTGAACATTGACTGCAAAGACCCATTTTACATTTTGAAATGAGATATACAAGGACCATGCATGAAAAGCAAGTTGATGTAGTAAAGCCATACCACTTTAACCATTTCCATGAAGTCTTATCAAAGACTAGTGTTATGTGTATCCTTGCTTTTTATTTACAATGTTTTTTTAAACTAGGAGCGACAACATTGGTTTGAGTAATTCTGACAAAGTGAATTCCCATTTTTGGAATGATGTTATTCTTTAAAAACAAGATAGGATCATTTGATTAACCTTTGGGGAAACCACACATCCTTTGGGGTTGTAAAGGAGTCACTCTACTTCATCCTTCCTACATTATACAAATGCTGCTTCCTGGGTAACTTATTTATAGATGATGAATTTTAGAGGGAGCAGTTGGTAAGGTGAGTTTTAGATAATGTGGAATATTAGATGGAGCATGATGATTTAAACTATTTTTCGTAACCTATTTTCCATGGTGGGCGGGGTGGGGAGGGAGTGGGAGGCATGCGAGAAAAAGGCCAACTATTAGATCCTCATGCCTTCAAAACCATCTGTAATATCTAGTGGTCTTTGTTACCCAACACGTCAAATAATATTCTGCTGAGTTTCTGGATAAACAAGGTTGGATTTACAATGTTGTAGAACTCTTCATGCTGGGCTAGTGGGCAATTATTACAGCAAGAAGTTTAGACCACAAGAAGCCATTGATGGAAATTCTGCTAGATCCAGGTTTAGATCTCAAGATTCAGTGTTGAACAAGGCAATAAAGCTGTATGTAACAAGTTGATTGGTTGTTGGCTATAGTAGATACAGCCTTCTAGTTGAATAAGTAGGATAATCTTGTGTAGCAGAGTGAATAATGGTTCCTTAACTCAGATTAAAGATGTGACAATTAATGGGACTGATGAGATCCACTTGACTTTCTTTGGAAGGATCTGGATCTAATAATTTTCTGGTTCCATGTGTAAAAGATCTCTAGAGTCCTGGTTATAGAATTTAGTCAAAAAGGACCATCACTCCATTCCAAATACAAAAAGTTCTTGAAACATTAAATGTATTTTTCAAACTGGTATACTTTGTCTCTGGATATAAAATCCCCTTTTGTTGATCTTCTTGCATAATCCAGAGAGTATCCTTGAATGGAGTAGGTCTAGGTTATCTGCTGCCAGTCTTTCTCTCTCACCTCCCTCCCCACCCCCACCACCACTACAATTGAGCCACCAATTTTAAATACCATCATATTTAATAATATAAGAAAGCATTGAATGAGAAGAGACCATGTTTTTTCTAACATATGCATTCCTTCCACAATCCATTAACATCTTTCTGTCATGAATTTCTGTATCTGCTTTCCCTGCAAAGTTTTTGACATTCTTCTCCTTCAACCCACAAAGATATCTATCCAAATTTCATTTTGGCTGGTTGCTTTGTTTTACCCTGACAACTATACCCATAGGCTAAATTCCTTTCTCCAACAGATGTTTATCTAGGTCTTTTATACAGGTGCAAATTGACCTAGTAGACCACCTTCAACCTTTCTCTTAATAAATCTCTTGAATCTGTTCACAGCTTAGACGCCTAAGATCTGTAATAATTAACATAATTCTTCTTTGAAGACTTTCAGTGCATTTATGTCAAGAATAATTCTAACATACTTAAACATGTATAGATGTTTTGATGAGACAGTAAGTGGATATTTTCAGTGAATGATCAATCATATCCCTCAAATCCTTTCTCACCAATCGGCCACATAATGTTATGCCATCCATCAACAAATATTTTACTATAAATAACCTCATCTATATCATTCACAAACATTGTGAATAGTAAAGAACAAGTCCATGTGGAACTTCACTGGTTGAACCCCAGGTACAGGGTCTGTAAAACCACTGGCATAGTGTAAATTCAGCACACAATTGGCAGTACAACCTCTATAAATGATACAAATAAAACTGATTTATCAAGTCCAACACTATTAATGAATAAATTGTGGTGAAATTGAAGCTTGCAACTGTAGAAAAAGAACTGAGGAGATAAATGCCTATTTGTACTTAGTACAGACTAGATATGTGTATAATTTGTATTCACAGCAAGAGGAAGTTATGACAGATTTCAACATTTTAAAGGGCCCATATTCCTTTAATTTCTCCTATTTTGTCCCATTGGATGACTAGAATTTCCTGTTGTATTCAATGAAGATAAAGAAGAATGTTTCTTTTTCAGCAGCTCTTCACATTAATAAGTGCAAACAGAATTCATATATCACCTTTCTCCTCCTCTGTATAATTAATGGCAACCCACTACTCATAAAATAGACAATAAAAGACAACACAATGCACAATTGCAACATTATGGCAAGTAAGTTACTTCAAACGGAATCAACAGTTAGCAGTTTTGAGTGTATCTTAGAAATGCAGATCTTTAAATTAGAAGTTGTAATGCTTTAGCCACCCATGACAGACCAATCTCCAGTTTGTGTTGAGCCTTTTTTTTCCAATTTGCTATTAATATCTTTGAATTTAATCAATCCTCAAGTCTATTTTTGGATGAAAAGTAATGTGTTCAGGAATCTATGTAAATATTTGTAATGCTGCTTTAGAATCTGGTATTAAAAGGGACTTATAATATGGTTCTGATCTCTGGGCCTGTTGAATAACACCCATTGGATATAACTTTTCAAACAAGTATTTTACATCAAATATCAAAATCCTTTAACTCCAGTCAATGGCATTCATTCACATTTCCAGCACAATTTTATCAATTATCAATCCCGAACATTCTTCCAATGACATAGGCGGACAATATAGTTAGCTGAATTCAGCCAGAGTAGTAGAGTTATTATGTTTGACGTTAGCATTGCTGGGTTAGAGACAGGAAGAATAGCAGGTGTTCCCACTTTTCATTACTGCCAGTTTATGAAAATAGGAGTGGCCACAGCTTTGATGTCCTCTACTTGAGTAGCTCACTGATGCACATTACAACAGAGATTCAGGTTGGTGAATATTGAACTGTACATCAACATGTGTTAGAGGAAAGGGAGAAGTTTCTGCATCCATATGATTAATCTGCTGCTTCCAAAAGCCTTTTGAGTCTTTCTGTTCTCTCTCTGAGGGTAATTTCTTTTAATGAAAAGGTCATCTTCTTAACTCATTATCTGCTGCATCCAAACCTAAATGCACATCCAGAAATTCGATGACCGTATTGTGACATTACTGACAGTATTTCCACTCAGACAACATGACTTAACTTCACTAGACATCTCTTAGTACTGACCGCAGCAACCCAGTGACAACCCATACCATACAGTATTTATACCAGATATAATAATACTTGCATTTGATATAGTACTTTTCACGTCTTCTAGATGTCTCAAAGCGCTTCCAGAATATACTGTAAAGTGAATTGACTGTATATTTGTGGGTGAAACGTGGCAGCCAATTGCGCACAGCAGTGTCCCACAAACAGTCATGGATTGAAGTGACCCAATTTATTTTTTTTTTTCTTGAGGGATTATTATCAGGCGTGTGGAATAAGGAAACTTGCCCAAGGTTTTGCCCGGGAATCGAACCCAGGTTTCTCGCTTGCCAGGCGAGTGCTCTAATACACCTGACCAGTCTTGTCCATTTATATTAATGTATTACAATATTAAAGGAGAAGCAGAGTTCTAGGGAGAGTTTTCTTCTGTATAAAGTCATTCAGCATAGAAGCATAGAAATTTACAGTGGAGATGGAGGCCATTTGACTCATCGAGTCTGCGTCTCAGAGCAACCTGCCTGTATATTCAATCCCCCAGTCCTGCCCTATCCCCATACATCTTCAAGCCATTTCATAAACCTTTCATTAAACTTCTCATAATTTTGTACACCTCTATCAGATCTCCCTTCAACCTTCTCTGCTTTAATGAAAGCAGAGACTGCTTTTCCACAAAAGTAATCAAGAATCCAGAATATTCATTCATGACACAACAACACAACAGCGAATCAGGAAAAATAACCTGTAAATCAATTTACACATGAACAACTGGAGACGTGTGTCAGCCTGGCTCATTTGGGAGCACTCTTGCCTCTGTATCAGAAGGTTATGGGTTCAAGACCCATGTTTGGACTTTTATCTCATACAATTTATACTGACAGTCCAGTGCAGTTCCGGGGGTGTGCTGCAGTGTTGAAGATGCTGTCCTTCAGATGAGGCTTTAAATCAAGGTCCCATCCGCCTGTTCAATAATAATGTGCATTTCTGTAACGCTCTTCATGAAGGATAGTGAATCGGTGCACTACTCAGGTGGATGTTAAAGATCCCAGGGCACTATTCAGAAAAAGAAGGGATATTCTTAGGTGTCCTGGCCAATAATTGGCTAAATAAAACTTATGCCTCTTAACTCCATTGTGTCACTTCTAGAACATGTTCCGACATACCTGAGGAACGGCAACACCTTTTCAGTTTAGCTTCAGCCCTTTTTCATAATGGAGAAAGGCATCTCAGTATGGACAGATATACTGTTTGGCTGGTTTGACTCCCAAAGGGTCTATGGCCACTGCATTATAAATTGTCTGCAGAGACAAACAGGTGACCTAAAGCTGTTGGTTTGTGAGTCAGTCTGTTCACTGTTCAGTACAATGACTCAGCATGTGCGTGTAAATTAGATGATGGTCAGTTGCATACGTAGTACTTTGGATATAAATTGCACTGGGTGTTGTTGATCCTGTAACCTCAAAGACACTATCTTCAGATATGTACAGCATTTATGATGGCTCGGCATCACTATTAAGCGCTTCGAGACTTCAATAGTCAGTTCCTTCAGCCGGGGTTCTGCCACCACCAGTGCCATGTTTTGCACAGGAGAGGCCTGGATTATATCAATTGTTGTTTAAACTATCTTTCAGAGAGGCAGCACAGTCACGATGGCCTGAATAACCTGTGCTGTGAATTTCTTTAGAATATGAGTTGCTTTCTTTAGGTTGAACAACTGCATTGATTGTGGTGTTCCACAACACCATTACAGTAAAATTATGAAACCAGGAATTAATATATGTGTATTAAATATGCAAAATTGCACTTAGTACTGAGGCTGAGTACTTGGCATTTTATTCTCCTTGGTGTTATAGTAGGCCTCCAACCTTTAGGAATAGCTTGGGGGTAAAAATATCATTTGGAACATTATTTGCGAACAGAATTTGGTGTTGACGGCAGGTTTTCCCCCTTTTGCACAGCTGGGTGTCAGTTTAAATACAGGCTGCAGGCTAGTGCTGGGGTGATTTTCCTATCAAGCAAATATAAAATCATTATGTTTTTGCTGTCACAAACGTACCAGCAAACTCAACTGAGAATAGTGCACAGACGATCTGGTATTATTGGGTCAGTGTGAATCAGCACAAAACTGGCTCGAACAGACAATTAATCCCCTAGTGTCATAGACAGCAGGTCAAATTTGACATCTTTCACTTGACTGGTTTGCTATTGTAAGGGACAGGTACAGTTGTTACTCTGTAGTAGAAGGCTATTATGTCCTCAGGCAAAATCATCCACAAATAAAATGTGGAATAACATTTCCTGCTGTGTTTTGTAATTAGAGTACCTCAATCACCTTTCCTTACATTGAATAATCTCTTGAATTAGAAGATGACACCTTTGTTTTTTGGAATTGTCAGATTTTTAATAACTTAATGGAGATAGTGAAATAATATTTAATGTAATATGTTTATGTTAGTGTATCCATCCTTCGGATGAGGCATTAAACCGAGGCCTCATTAAAGATCCCATGGCACTATTTGGAAAGAGAAGGGAGTTTCTCCGGGTTCCTGGCCAGTAATCCCACAGACCAAATTTGTCATTCAATGGCTATTTATGGTAACATTGGCTGCCGCATTTACCTATAACATAAACATATCACATACAGTCACTCCACTTTACAGTATATCCTGTGAAGCACTTTGAGCTGTCTCAATGACGTGATAAGGCATTATATCCAATACAAGGATTATTGTATTACTGTAGTGTAAAGGACCAAGTAAAACTGCATTGAATTGTCAGACAAGCGGCCCACTACTTGTCCAACTAGGTTTAACTGGTCAAGGGTTTGCAATCCTGAAGATCAGGATTTCCTCAGACATTAAATTGGCAATGTGTAAACAAGTATTCTGGACATGCTGTTTGTGTTTCTTATTTGGGACAAAACATGTTTGATTTTATTTTTGAGTAGTTTTGCTTCACTTTTCATTGGTGAAAATAAAAGGAATAACATTTGAGGTCTGTGCGTATGAATTGCACAGTGAGGACTGAAGTAACTTATTTTTGAAATGAAACATCACAAATTCTTTTGTTGATACGGTCAGAGGTAGGTAGTCAACCTGGTAGGTATCTACAACCTGGTAGCAAAGCTGATTCGGACAATCCTTAACAAATCACAAGATCACATCAGAGGTTTGGATGAAGATGGATGTCGTTTTGGCCTATTTGATCTTATCCTTCCAGAATACCCATCCTACTATCTCCCATCATAGCATCAAGATATTTGAAAATGAATCCTGACCTCACTGTCGCCCTTTTCTAGAAATTAATTACCATCTGAGTAAAGAAATACTTCCTGGTGCCTGAAATTCCTCCTTATAACTTGAAACCTGTGTCCTCTTGTCTGGCTGTCCAACAATTTTGTTTACTTTTTCAATCCCATTTAAATGCTATTATACCTATTTAACATAAAAAGGTTGTTTCCACTGGTTGGGGAGTCCATAACCACAGAACAGAAAGACAGTGTCCACAAAGTCCTGTAACCCCCCTTTTGCAAAACAGTGCCTTGGGCCGTCCTCCCGATATGAACGGTGCTATACAAATATAATCTTGTTGTTTGCAAAACAGTGATATGAAACTACAGAGGAGCTGAAACAAGCTGTTAGAGATGCATTTCACCTTGTCACTCCATCCACGTTACAGAAAATGTCGCACTGAACATGGCAATAGATCGTTGTCTGCCATGAAAATTATGATGTTTCTGGATATCTAAATACAGTTAAGCACTTGTACTGAATACAGTTAAGTACTTCTAAATACAATTATTATCATTCTTCCATGTGTTTCAGTTGACGGTCAGTGCACTGTGGGAGTTGTTTTAATTGTTTTGAAATCACTTATCTCTTCATCTTAATGGGACACATTATTATTGATGCATGCAAAGAATATTTGTGGATATTGTTTGACTTTATTAATGCCTGTTCGGTTATATCTCTGGACATTGAATTCAGATCAATATCTATTGTGATCTGATTCCATTCCGTATCCTTTGAACATATTCCTTTTAGAGACAAAAACAGATATATTTGTTTCACTGTAGAACAATTTTAATAAACCAATCAACACTAAAGATAAAAAATGAGTATACATGTGGAAGAAATCAAATATATTTGATTTCTTGTGGCTTACATATTTTATTCGTATGAGAAGTAATTATTTATTTTCAATTACAGAATAGAACACACTGGTTTTAAAGTGCTTTCCACAGATACAATTAAATCAACTATCAATACATTAGTTCCCATTGTGTTTGATAAAGCTGAATATGTCTAAAACTGCTATGATTCATAATTTATACCACACAAGCACCCGCTCAAGCTGCTTTTCAATGGGGTTAGCTTAGAAAAAAAATCAAGTTTGAGTTAATTGTATGATACCCTGATCATTTTAGTTTAAAATACCTTGAATACTTGAAATTCCTCGAACACTATTTAAAATAATTTGCATCTAAAATATGATTTAATATTTTTCCTCTATCAATATTGAACTAAAGGATTAGATGCTGTCAGGTAGCAGCCAGCTGTGGTCTGAGTTGGTAACCTGATGACTTGATCTTAGCGTAAATGTGTTCTCTATTTAACAATTCATTGACAAACCACTAACTTTTTTAAAAAAGAATATTGAAGATACAATAAACAATAGTAACCAAACCACTGAAATATATCACAGAAACAAGAACTGAACAAAACTAAACAAACAGAAAGCTAACAGTAGCAGCAATATCAATTACATTGATACAACAAAAATGCAGTGTTTTAAAGTTACCAATAATATTCAGTTGTAATTGTCTGATCGAGGGGCTACAGTCTAATCACCATAGCAGACAGCGAGACATCATGGCCCTCATTCTCAGCAACAGCCTGAGAGGGTTAGGTGGCGGATATATTTTTGGGAGACAAACCCAGCTCAGCAATTTGAGCCTGGTATCTGCTTTTATCCTTGTACCCAGATTAGTCCCTCCGTGCCCTCCCCTTCCTACCCTGTAAATCCATCGCATAATCAGATCACAATATAGTCCCAATTGTGCACAAATAGAAAGGTACAACTTAATCCCCCCCCACCTCACTAATCCATCTCCCATTATTAAAGGTGTTACTTGCCTCTAACATGGACGTAGTGAAGTCAGTAACAAGGGAAGCTGCCCTTTACTTGTGGACTATTATTTCCAACCAAGTCCGTAAATATAGGTGAGGGTAATGCTCTGTCTTTGACAGAGTGTAAAAAAAAGCACAGTTGTGTGGTACAAGTTGGTGATACAAACAATACACACTTTTAAATATGAGCATTGCTACTTATGAATTATATATTGCTGTATGGTCAACAGTTTATTTACTATAACACATTAATTCCTGCCATATATTCATTATCATGTTGATTATACCTAGTATTTCTGAATGGATCACTTTTACGTGGTTGATTAGTTCCTAGCATTCCAATACAAGATCTGCCAGTTCAATACATGTTTTACGTAAAACTAGACATTGCACAAATTCTCTGCGACAGCTGAGCACAATTTTTCAGTTATTATTCAGAACCCACCAAGAGGCTGTGGAAAAAACAGAAAATATTTAGTCAGTTAGTGAAGGATTGGCAAATAATCCTCAAAATAAAATTGATCATTCTCTTCATGTTTCTTTGTGTGCAAATGAACTGCCACGCTCACCAACAAAATACATGGTCACTCGTGAAAGGTGCTATAAGAAATATAAGGATTATGATTATTATTTTATAGTGAAAGGATGAGGCATTTGAATTTGAAAAGATTGTCCAAAATCTAATAATCTGGTCAAACACACTCGATGGTCTGCATGGCACCCTCGCGTTTTCTATGTTCCTAATTTTTATTTTAACTTCTCTAGACGACATTAATTCCCTCAACCTGCTCCATCTGTTGCAATATAGTTCTAGAATCTGGAAAGCTCTGTATTGCCCTAGTAAATACCAACAACAACAACTTACATTTATATTGTGCCTTTCATGTGGGGTAGCGTCTCAGAGCACTTGAAACATCCTTTGTACTCTGTCCATGATCTGCTCGTTCCCTTCCCTTAAATCTTACCTCTTTATTTGTGATTTTGATCATCTTTCCCCTCCTCTCTCCTCTCAGCTCTGGTGCCCAGCCAGAATTGTTCTCCCAGCATGAAAGCTGCTTTATAAGTATAAACTATTATAACTTTCCTAAAGTAGGGGGCCCAGAATTGTTCATTATACTCCATCTGTGAGCTAACCAATGATTTCTACAAGTTTAACATTACCTGCTTGCTTTTGTATTCTATGGCCATATTTTTAAATCATGGGATCCCATTAGGTTTTTTCATAGCTTTGTAAATGCATCTTCCAATGTTTGAAAATTTGGGTATGTTAAACACCACATTTCTCTGTTTTTCTACTCAACAACAACAACAACAAGATTCCATTTATAGAGCGCCTTTCACGTCGGGAGGACGTCCCAAGGCGCTGTACAGTTGGGTCAGGACCCAAGCAGGGGGGAAATGGTCAGGGTGAGGGGAGGAAAGGGAGGGAGCCAGGAGGGGGTAGAGAGTCGAGAGGGGAGCTGAAGGCACGGTCAAAGAGAAAGGTCTTGAGACCGGCCTTGAAGGAGGAAAGGGAGGAAGCGGTGAAGGCACTGGGGGATGGAGTTCCAGAGCCTAGGGGCTGAGAGGCTGAAGACCCGACCACCGATGGTAGGGCGGTTGGGGTGGGGGATGTGGAGCAGACCGGAGCCAGAGGAACGGAGGGTACGGGCGGGTAGGTAGGGGGATAGTAGGTCAGAGAGGTAGGAGGGAGCAAGGTTGTGAATGGCCTTGTAGGTGAGGATGAGGATCTTGAATTCGATCCTCTGGGGGATGGGGAGCCAGTGGAGGCGAGCGAGGGTGGGAGTGATGTGATCCCGAAGCCTGGTGCGGGACAGTACACGAGCTGCAGAGTTCTGAATGACCTGCAGCTTTTGGAGGGAGGTGGCGGGAAGGCCGGCGAGGAGAGAGTTCCCATAGTCCAGCCTTGAGGTGATAAAGACGTGGACCAGAGTTTCAGCAGCGTGAGGGGTGAGGTAGTGCCGTAGTCTGGCGATGTTCCGGAGGTGATGGAAGGCGGTGTCAGTTATGGCGCGGATATGAGGGAGAAAGGACAGCTCAGGGTCGAACAGAACACCGAGGTTCCTGACTGACTTTGAGAGGTGGAGAGTGCAGCCTTGGATGCTGATGCTGTCTGCGCCAGAGGTGCGGAGACGCTGACGTGAGCCAATCAGGAGGGCCTCAGTTTTACGCACATTGAGCTGAAGAAAGTTGTCTCTCGTCCAGTACTCGATGTCGGACAGGCAGACTGTTAGAACATCGGTGGTCGTGGAGTTGAGGATAGAGGAGGAAAGATAGAGTTGGGTGTCATCCGCATACATGTGGAAGTTAACCCCATGTCTGCGGATGATGTCACCGAGGGGGAGCATATAGAGGGTGAAGAGGAGGGGACCGAGGACAGAGCCCTGAGGGACACCGCACAAGACAGTGCGGGGGCTGGAAGAAAAGCCGTTCGTGGAAACAAAGTGAAGACGGTGGGAGAGGTACGACCTAAACCACTCAAGGACAGGGCCTTGAAGGTTGAGGTGGACCTTGATGGTTGAGCCTTGAAAGTTTCACCCTTCAATGTATAATTTATTACATTATTCTTCTTACCAAAATATATCACATCAAAATGTTTCAAAGTGCTTGAGCTAGTGAGTTCCATTGAAGTGTAGTGACCATTTTTGCACGTGATGCAACTAAGATGCATCAGTCATGTTTAACTTAATCTGTCACATAGTTTGTGCAGAGTAAAATCCTTGACTTTTGTAATCATTTCTGTGGTTATATTACAAACAAAAAGTTGCTTTTTTACTATTATGTGAAATCTGATGACTTGCCCAAGGAACACCTTAGTCTACTTGTTTTTTCTTCAACAAACGACAAGGTGAGCTAGAGGCACAACCAGGTTCTGAGTGTTTAAATTGAATGTCAAGGTATTTTTCTTCAGTCATTCTGTCATTTGAGAGAACCAAGCAATTCTAAGAGATGTATCAGGTTATATCAGTTCAGATGTGTGATTTAACTAATTTCGTGCTCCTTTGAATGCAACTTGTTTGCTGTTTCTTATTACAGAAATAAGTAGTTCTATGATTTGGAATGCAGTTTCTCTAGAAAATCTGGACTACCCAGGACTTGATCAGATTTTCATAAGGTCAAACGAATTATTAGACCTAGATTCAGATAACATTGAGATCAGGCAAAATATCAACGGTGGTGCAGTTTTTTAAAAGTATAGTAATAATCATTGCATTTGATATAGCGCCTTATCATGTCTTCGAGACCTTTCAAAGCGCTTCACAAAATATACTGTAAAGTGAATTGACTGTATATAGTGGGTGAAACGCGGCAGACAGTTGCACACAGCAGTGTCCCAAAAAGTCGTGGATTGAGTGACCACATTATTATTATTTTTGAAGGGATTGTTGCCCCCAGAAAGCGATCCACCAATCGACTAACAAGTGGGTTCCTACTTACTGCTAGGTAAACGGCTGTGGAGTAAGGAAACTTGCCCAACGTTTCACCCTGCTGGGAATCAAACCCAGTCCTCTCGCTTGTGAGACGAGTTCGCTAATCACTGAGCTACAGGACTCCAATGGTCTTAATGTAAAGTGTAGTGACTGTATTTCTAAGATACATGGCAGCTAATTTCAGTACAGCAAAGATAATAAACAGCTTTAAAATGAATGACTAATTGGGAGATTATTAGTCAAAAGAAACTCCCTTCTCATTTGAATAGTGACATTGACATCATTATCAGGTTTAACATCTCATCTGACATATGGTACCTCTGACAATGCAATGGTCCCCCAATATAATACAACTTATATTTATATAGTACCTTTCATGTTGGGAGAACACCTCAAAGCACATTACACCGTTGGCTGGGCACCCAAACGACAGAGTAGTTGTTAAAAGAGAGTGGGGAGGGGAAAGATGACTAAATGTGTGGACAAAGGGGTAAGTCTTGTGATGGGCTTTGAATGTGGAGAGGGAGCAAATGAGTTTGAGAGGCTCCAAGATGGAGTTCCAGAGAGCAGGGGCAGAATATGTGAACACTTGCCTGTCAATAGTGGGCGGTTAGGTAAGGGACATGAACCAGGCCAATGTTTGCTAAGCAAAGGAAGCAGTGAGTTGCTAAGTGTTGAAGGAGGTCATAAAGGTAGGATGGAGCAAGGCCGTGGAGGGATTTGAAGGTGAGAACAAAGATTCACTCTGGAGAATGGGGAGCCAATGGAGCTGGGTGAAGATGGGGTAAATTGCTCACAGAGCCTGGTGTGGAAGAGGACGTGGGCTGCAGCGTTCTGGATAGTCTGCAGGTTGTGTAGGGATGAACTGGTTAGGGTGGCGAGCAGGGCGTTGGCATGTCAAGCCTGGATATTGTATAATAACTCAATTATGAAACTGAGATTTTAAATTATACGTTTTAGTCAATCAAAAAAGGTTCAGAAATTTGTCCCTGCTTACTGAGCAATTTGTAAAATGTGCCAAATGGAGGAGTTTAGCACTTTACCCATGTCGACTGCTACTACATCTATATACAGAGCAGAAGAGCTCTCAGAAGGTGCTTTTCTATGGGAAAGCAGAAAGGCTAAACAATGCACAAAGCCTTATTGTCACCTATAATTGTTTCATTTGCTGCTTCATGCCATAGCATAGCAACATTCATTTTTGTTTGTTTATTTTCAACACCATTCACAAAAGCTGAACAAATGAATGTTTACACATGAAAGAAAATAAATATAAATCCCATTGATAATGAACTATATAAGATTTTACAACTGCCAACTTACCGGGAACAAGCATTGTTGTCATTAGTTCTGGTGTCTCCAAGAAATCTACGTTGCTCCTTTGAAAGGTCTTGCTATAATTTGTCTGAAGATGGCTGTTTGTATTAATATACCATTCAGAAAAATATTAATAAACATTTATCCTACACTTCTAATTTCTGAAACATAAATTCCATTAATCAGCAAGAAGGCCAGAATAACCCCCCAAAAATGGATTTGTTACATCAACATTTGTGACATTTCAAAAATGTCAACTAAATGTCCTTTATATAAACTACTGGATTTCAAAGAAGGGAGAAATATACAATTTTTTCCTGTATTTTAAAATTTAATTTAAACAAAATATTTCCTACTCTGAGATATATTAGCTTACATTTGTTCCCTGGATTTGGGGACTCCACTTGCCCCAACAATTTACATTATGGAAAGCATTTGAAGCATCAATTCTTATGAGAAGTATTGATTTGAATCAGCCTGTTTTTATCCATCTAAAAGTACTAATTTCAGAAACAATTTAGATTTTTGAAAACAAGGGAACAAACAAAGGAAGCACATGGGAACTGGTTTGATTTTATGGGTTTTATAAATTAATAATAAAGTATTAAATTATCAAAGATTGTAATGTCTCAATGGATAATGGCTGATAACGTTTTATGTAACTAATTCTTACTATACCTTTACTACACAAAATATAGAGAATGAAACAAAGGGCCTCAACCATTCATGTGAAAATACTTCCTTACACTTTATTCTTTTTAAAGATACACTGTAAAAGTACCAAATTTCAAAACATATCATGAGATAAAAGCCTCAGATGGTACCTTCTAGAGATGTATGAAATGGTAAATTGGGTTGAAAAATAAAACCAGAATACTTTAGGTTGACCAAGTCAGTGGAAAATTAGGAGATAGGTTTAGGGTTGCAAAAGGCATTTTCAGGACAGATACCAGGGAGTTTTTATTTATCCAAAGATAATTAATGAAGGGACCAGAATACCAAGATGGGTGGTTGAGGACTGGCCACTGCATTCAGTTTAAAAAAAAGTGATACTGGCTGTGATGGAAAGATGGTAGGGTGAGTATTCTGGAAGGATGAGATTAAATGGCCCAAAGGACCTTCTTCATCCAAACCAATCTTGTGATCATAAGGTGGCTGAAGTTATGTATCGTATTAATATGATTTTCACTGATTAAACTTGGCCACTAATTTTAGTGAGTTGCTTACTATTATGCACCTCAATTGATAGACCTGTTCTAAACTTGTGATCAAGATAAAGTTTTATTTAAATTAGAATCATTTTATATGGATAAACACAATGAAGCACATTGTAAAGCAAAATTATCTCAATATAATTATATTTTCACACAATACTCAAAACAATTATAGGGCTTTATGCTGAGGTTTTCTTTAAGATGTCCATGTTGAAAATCTGCCATAACCTGTTGTTTGGTTGTCAATATTATTTAATTAACCGAAGAGACTTGTTGAAATTAGTACTTTGAATGGATCCTATTGTATTTAAAATATATCTTTCATTTACTTTTTAAATCTGATTTAGAATTAATACCATAAATGTGGTATGTGTATCAGTGTTTTATTTGCAGTGAATTATTTTCTGAAAAATGCACCTAAAGTAATGTATCATTGCAGAAGAAGCAGTTATCTATGTACCCAAGTACAGCAGGCTTTTAAACACTCACCTCTCACACAAATAGATTTTAACAGCGACAATTATTTAATCTGTGTTGCAATAACCATTTCTTGAAGATTACTCTTATAATAAAGTAATAATATAAAAATATATTATTGCAGCAAGGTTCACATCAGCAACTCTGAACTCCATTTTTTCAATACCAATAGAATAACATTCTGCTGTCTTAATCTTTTATAGAGATAATTTAGCTGAAGACATAAAATCAATCAACAAGATGTACAGTAGGCATTAATGATTCACAGAGTTGGACTTGCATTATTCACTTTTCCTAGCCAGAGTTATGCACCTAATATCAACTGATTGGTTTATTTTAAAGTGAACTATCAAGTTCTATTTTACAATCCTGTACATTTTAAACACAATTTTCCAATCACTTACTTTTTCCAGAGATTGCTGTTTTCCCAAAATTCATACAGTATAAAACGGGGTTCATTTGAAAGCTTCTGCACTGAAATGCTATAAAAATGAAATGAGTCATTCACAAAAAATTAACATTTTATAGAATAATAACTAGAACTAAATTAACGAGAATGAACTACAACAGTATAAATTTATAAAATCTATTACAACAACAAAATTACATTCGTATAGCACCTTTCACATCAGGAGGACGTCCCAAGATGCTGCACAGACAGAGTTGTGGATCCAAGCTGGGGGTCGGAGAGGGTGGAGGGCAGTGGGGGAAGCAGGGAGATCGAAAGCACAGTCAAATAGGAGGGTCTTGAGATGTGTCTTGAAGGTGGCAAGGGAGAGGATGAGGCGGAGGGACTGTGGAATGGAGTTCCAGAGGGTGGGGGCAGAGTAGCAGAAGGCCCGCCTGCCAATAATGGGGCGAGCGAAGCAGGGGGACGTGAAGCAAGCTGGAGCCCGCTGAGTGGAGGGAGCGAGCAGGATTGTAGGGGGTTAGGAGGACGCAGAAGTAGGGGGAGCAAGATCATAGAGGGCTTTGAAGGTGAGGACCAGGGTATTGAACTGTATCCTCTGTGTGATGGGAAGCCAGTGGAGTTGGGCAAGGATGGGGGTGATAGGGTCACGGAGCCCAGTGCAGGAGAGGACATGGGCTGCAGAGTTCTGCATGATCTGCAGCCTGGGGAGGGAGGAGTTGGGGAGGCCGACAAGCAGTGAGTTTGCATACTCGAGCCTCGTTGTAATGAAAGCATATAACAGAACATGTAGGAGCAGGAGTAGGCCATTCGGCCCTTTGAGCCTGCCCCGCCATTCAATCATGGCTGATCTTCTAATCTAACTCCAGCTAATAACCTAACCCTGCCTTATCCCCATATCCCTTAATCCCTTTTGCAATAAGAAATCTATCTATCTACCTCAGTCTTGAATATGTTCAAGGACTGAACGTCAACAGCCCTTTGGGGTAGTGAGTTCCATACATTCACTACCCTTTGAGTGAAGAAGTTCTTCCTCAACTCAGTGCGAAAGGGCTGGCCTCTGATTTTAAGGTTGTGACCCCTGGTTTTAGTTTCTCCAACCAGGAGAAACAATCTCCCACTATCTACTCTATCATGCCCTTTGATGATCTTATAGATTTCTATAAGATCCCCTCTAATTCTTCTATATTCTAGAGAATATAGGCCCAAATTGGTCAGCCTATCCTCGTAACTCATCCCCTTCATCCCTGGTACTAACCTAGTAAATCTACGCTGCACCCCCTCCAAGGCAAGTACATCCTTCCTTAAATAAGGAATATACACAGTATTCCAGGTGTGGTCTCACCAGGGCCCTATACAGTTGCAGCAAGACTTCCCTACTCTTATACTCTAATCCTTTCATAATGAATGCTAACATACCGTTCGCCTTCCTAATTGCTGCTGCACCTGCAGACTAACTTTCTGTGATTGGTGTACAAGGACACCCAAGTCCCTCTGGACGCTAACACATTCCAATCTCTCCCCTTTTAAAAAGTAACCCGCTCTACTGTTTTTGCTACCTAGGTGGATGACTTTGCACTTCCCTACATTATACTTCATCTGCCACCTACCTGCCCAATCATCTAACCTATCTATGTCTCGCTACATTTTTTTAATGTTGTCCTCTGTGTTGACACTTCCTCCTAGTTTTGTGTCATCTGCGAATTTAGATATATTAAATTTGATGTCCTCAACGATCATACATCAACGATCTAGATGGTAAATAGCTGAGGCCCAAGGATTGATCCTTGTGGCACTCCACTAGTCACATCCCGCCAATCTGAAAAGGACCCGTCTATCCCTACTCTTTGTTTCCTACCCGTTAACCATTCCCCAATCCACGTTAATATGCTCCCCCCAATTCCATGTGCCCTTATCTTTTCGACTAACCTTTTATGTGGCACCTTGTCGAATGCCTTCTGGAAGTCCAAACAGACCACATCCACTGATTCACCCTTAAATGGTTTACTCGAAATATCCTCAAAAAACTCTTTGAGATTTGTCAAACATGACTTCCCTTTTGTAAAGCCATGTTGACTTGGCCTAATTATATTGTGCTCCCCTAAATACCGCACTACCACATCCTTAATCAATGATTCTAAAATTTTTCCTATCACTGATGCGAGACTAACTGGTCTATAGTTCACTATCTTTTCCTTTCCACCTTTATTAAATAGTGGTGTGACATTTGCGATCTTCCAATTCATGGGGACTGTTCCAGAATCCAAGGAATTTTGGAAGATCAGACATAAGGCCTCCACTATCTCATCACCTACCTCTTTTAAATTATTTAAACAATAATTAAATTGGTCATTTTCAATCTACGACTGTTTGTGGGACATTGCTGTGCGCAATTGGCTGCCGCGTTCGCCCACAAATATACAGTCAATTCACTTTACAGTGTGTTCTGTGAAGCGCTTTGGGACGTCCTCCTGACGTGAAAAGCGCTATATCAAATGCAAGGATTATTATTAAAACCCTGGGATTCAAGCCATCCAGACCATATGTGAGGGTTTTGGCGGCCTGCAGTGTGAGACAGTGGCGGAGCCGGGCGACGTTGTGGAGGTGGGAAAAGGCAGAGTGGGTCATGGCATAGATGTGGGGTAGAAAGGATAGTTGAGGGTCAAACAAGACGCCAAGGTTCCGGACTGGCTCAGTGAAGTGGAGTGTGCAGTGCAGCCATAGATGGTGATGCTGTCAGCGCCTGAGGTGTGGAGATGCTGACGGGAGCCAATCAGGAGAGCTTTGGTCTTATTGACGTTCAACTAAAGAAAGTTAGCTCTCATCCAGGACTTGATGTCCGACAGACATTCTATCAGGACAGCAGTGATCCTGGAGTCAAGGGTCCAGGCAGAGAGATAGAATTGGGTGTCATCCGCGTACATGTTATTAGTGCATATTGAGTGTATAAATGAAACCGCACTTACAAGGGAATACAGTATAATGGGGCTGAACTGTATATGGTTATAAAAGTAATCTTTTCATTTAGTATAGCTCCTCTCACGCCAGGAAGATGTCCCAAAGCGCTTCACAGGCTATACCATAAAGTGGAGTGACTGTATGTTTTGCGCATGAACACAGTAGCCGCAAACAGCCAAGAAGTGAATGACCAAATTTATTTACGGGATTGTTGGCCAGGACACCGAAACTCTCTTTTCTTTATCAATAGTGCCAATGGGATCTTTAACATCAACCTGAATAGGCCTCAGTTTAACGTCTCATCTGAATGACGGCTCCAGGTTATATAATCCCTGCATTTAGTTTGCTTTTTTAATCGCATCACTACACTGGTATTGAAATTGATAGGCAACCATCACTATTATAGGTGGGATACATGGAATTCACAGTTTGGTTTGGATACTTTTAAGCATAATGATGGTTTTCCACAAGTGTCAGACATCCAGCTGAACACAAAAAGAATACTAACCCTTTCTAGATCTCCCTACACACCTCTTTTACCTTCCACACTTCTTTAATCTCCCACTGTTAAGACTATACAATGATATTTAGCAGCAGGTGGGCAACATTCTGAATTTACCGGAATGTGAATTAGTTTGTATGACTATAAGCCCTATAAGAACTCTTGGTGAACCACTACAAAGAATAGTTTCATAAAGGGATTTAATACTTTGCATATATATGCCTATCACTCCTGTTACCCATATATGCCTATCACTCCTGTTCGTGCAGGGCTCCACTGACTCCCAACGGATTGACATAAAGATTACTCACGCTCACACACCAACAAATCCCTATTCATCCCCATCCATGAATCACTAAAATAAAATAATAATAATGATTATTATTATTATCTCTGTTATCTTCATCAGTCTTCATGAGGGAGTTATTATTATTATCTCTGTTATCTTCATCAGTCTCACTCACCTGCTTGCCCCTTCCTGTCGGCAAACTCAGGCTTGCTGCACACTCGTCACTCACCCATCATTAGTGGCTGAGCTTTCAGACATTATGCCCTTACCCCCTGGAACTCCCTCCCCAAATCACTCCACCTCAACTCTATATATAAAACCCTGAAATCTCATCTCTTCCTCTGTGCTTACCTTCTCTCTCCCCTACCCGCCCTGCATGGTGTAAGGCACCATCTCTGTAAAGCATTTCAAGATGTTGCCCTATATGAATACTGCTATATAAAAACAAGTTGCTGTACTTACTGCAAAGCCCCCGTTTGTGGAGTAACAGACTCTACGTACTGCCTCAAAGCTAGACGAAATTCTTCCAACTCCTCTTCTAGCACAGATATCTGACGCTGAACAATCAGGATGTGCTGGTTAACAAAACAAATGCATAGTAAAAAAATATTGTTCAGTAATAACCTTACAGTTTTGTCAGGTATAAATCTAATCGGCATTGGCACATGACTTTTGATATTGCTGAATTATTTTGGCAGCTCATCCACAGCAGTGTCCCACAAACAGCCATGAAGTGAATGACTAATTTTATCTGGATGATTATTAGCCAGCTATTCAGAGAAGCTCCCTTCTCTTTCCAAAGAGTGCCGTGCGATCTTCAACATCCATCTGAAGAGGCAGACAGTTTAGGCTGCATTCTCAGAGAGCACACAGCATGCTAACATTTTACAAGCTGATGTGCAAAATAACCCATGTTGCCTGCAGTGATTTTATCAGGAAAGCAACTTACACAAAAACACTGTAATTTCCACATTCAAAATCATAGGTTTGGAAATGCAGATAATTCAATATGAAAGTATGGAAATTTTTACTTGTGGGAAACCTCCTTGAGGGGTATTGCCTTTTCAGAAAATAATCCAATTTGAAACTCGGCAAAGGTTGTAGGCAGATTTTTCTCCAATATAAATATGACATCTTCAACAAGGGAAACTACACTTCAAAAAACAGTGGAGCCTGACTTCAATAGCCTTTGGAATGCATAGCTCCAATTGGCTTAAACATTACTGATCCAAGCCTTCCAGTATGAAGCTGTTCGAATGAGGTTTGTCAGTAAATACTGGGGAATGTTTCAATGCACATCAAGATATTCATTGCTTTTTTTGGGGTGGAGTGGAGGAGTCGGTGGTAGATCCAGTTGTGACAATGTAGTTGGCACATCGCTGCAGAATCAATCTGTTCACTTTGTAGGTCTTGCTGGAAGTGTAGTCTTTAAACTGGAATATTTATGCATGAATGTTCATATCAAAATCATATGACTGATGGTAATCTGGTACAAATGTTCTTGTATAACAAGGATATCAATGGGATGGGATTGGCCTAATTTCTTCTCAATTAATAAATTTTGTAAAAATGCATAAATTCACCTTTGCAAATAGGTTTGTTTATTCCTTACATTTCTAGTGACACTAGAAACGTAATGTAATTCAAAATGATCTTACTGATTTGGTGTTTCCCTCCAATACTTCTTCTTCCAGTGGTTCAAGCTTCAGGTCCTGTGTAACAAATACAACATTAGAAAGAGATGGATTTATCCAAAAATGTGGTAGAAAACATTTCAAAACAGTACGTAAAATACCTGCTTCACGCTCAAAAGAGATCTCTGGAATCTTGTACTTGGTCTAGTCAATTCTAAACTCTAAAAAAATGTTTAGAGTGTAATATCATACATCATATTTGTATGACAAATTTAGCTACCGTGCCCCTAATCTTTGGATCTCCCTCTCTGTCCCCTTCTCTTGCTCCCTCTTTGTCGGTCTTCAAATCCCATCTAGAAAGCTATTTCTTCGGTCACACTTACTCATCTCCCCTTTCCCTCTCCCTCGCAAAGCATCCAATCCTGTTTCTATAAAATGTTCTGAGACATTATCCTACATGAAGGCAGCTATATGAATGTAAGTTGTACAACTCAGTGTTAAGCTGCTAATGTTGACAAAGAACCATATACAATGATTACTTATGGATGATCTAGGTGCTGTTTGGTGTACTACCAAATGCTACCATGTATTCTGGTCACCAAAGCAAAAGCGGGGTGCCAGGCTGTAAAGGCAGTGCAGAAGAGAGCAACAAGGATGATCCCTAGTGTTGGAGATATGTGTTATGAGCAATGATTAGACAAGCTAGGGCTCTTCAGTTTTGAGGGAAGATAATTTAGAGGTGGGATTTAAAAATGGGATTTAAAAATGTAAACCCAGATTAATACTTTAGGAATCAGTAAGTAAACAGAACAAGAGGACATAGATTTACATTTGTAAAGGGCCATTTCAGGACAGGTACCAGGAAGTTGTTCTTTATCCACAGTGTAGTCAATGACTGAAACAGGTTGTCAGGAAAGGTAGTTGAGGCAAGAACACTGGGCTCGTTTAAAAAGTGGCTTGATGCTATGATAGGAGGGCTGGTAATAATAATAATCCTTGCATTTGATATAACCACTTATCACATCTTCGAGATGTCTCAATTCGTTTTGAGGGACGGTAGGGTAAGTGTTCTGGAGGATGACACTAGATGGGCTGAAGGCCCTTTTTCATCCAAATCAATCTTATGATGTTGTCATTGCTGGATACTGTTTCATGCTACCAAAAAAAATCCTTAAATGTTGCACTTCAATTTTAAGAGTAACATGAATATATGTGTTGAGCGGGATTACTGCGAGCGTGTGGCATGTTAGGTAACAACAATATTTACTGTTTTGCCTGAGGCAGTTACCACACTTGTCTACACCAACTCCAAACAAGATGTTTGCACATCACACAGTAGGCAAACAATTCTTGATTGCTGTTTTATTTATTCTTACCTCATGAATGTTATGAAAGGAAACTTCAGCAAGCAGGCTCCTTGAGTAAGAGTGTGTTAATTATAGTAACAACAATAACTTGCATTTATATAACATTTATATTTTATTTGCATTTATACTTATATATATGTTTGCATTTATCTTTCATGTTAGAAGGAAGCATGAAAACGTTTCACACAATTGACTGGGAGTATCATTCAAGAGATAAATTTTAAGCCAAAGTTTTGAAGGCATAGAGGGAGAGAGCAAGGTGGAGGGACTGTGGGATGGATTTCCAGAGAACAGAAGCAGCAAAGGGTCAAAGGAAGTCGGATAGGTGGGCAAGGCAGAAGCCATGGAAGCATTTAAAAGCGATAACAAAAAGTATTTTAATTTTTTCCCCTCACTGGCAGATGGGGAGCCAGTGAAGCTAAGTGTGGATAATAATATAAAATAATAATAATCCTTGCATTTGATATAACGGAAGGGGTGAAGGCTCATAGCGCCTGTTGCGGAAGAGGTGGGATCAAAAGGAGATGATCGAGGATAGAGACCAGGGGAATGGCACACACGGTTATGTCGGTGCAGGAAGAGAAGCCATTAAACGGGACATAGTGAAGATGATGGGACAAGTTGGAATGCAGAGCCACGGAGATGTATTAGAGAGGATAGACATTGGAAAGGGATGGAGTGGTTGATAGTATCAAAGGCATAATGTGACGGTAGATAGAGGGTTTAGAAGGGTCCAGCATAGGTTTTTTTGAGAAGGGGGTAATGTTGGCAATTTTGAAAGGGAGTGGGTACTGTGCTGGTGGAGACATCACCTGGAAGAGAGGTGAGAAGAAGCAGCTGGGTGGCCACGTGGTGCACAGGAATAGGGTCAAGAGGACTGGATCTCATACAGGAGGAGAGGGTTGCGGGGAAGAGAGGATCATCATCAACAAGAACAACTTGCATTATATATAGTGCTCTTCAGGCCGGACAGGGTCTTGGAGCGTTTGAAAAGACAAAGGCAGCTGAGATGATCGTGTTAATTTTGGACACCAGGAAGTCCATGACCTTCTTGCATTTGGAGAACAAAATGACAAAGAAGGTGGTGTAGGAGGGTGGGCGGAAGAGGTGGTTAATGATGGAGAAGAGAAGCCTGGGGCTTTCTTCGCCTTTCAGGATGATCCTGGAACAGAAGGAGGATCTGTCTGAGGGGAAGAAACAAAGGTAAGTCTTTGGTGTGGTTCAGCCAGATCTGGCTGTCGAGCGTGAGACCAGATTTGAGGATCTGTGATCTGATGCCCAGGCTTTGGAGTTCAGAGCTGTGACTGTTGTTCCTGGGAATCTTACAAGGATAGGAGGCAGTTTGTACTACATCTATCATCTTACTGAAACAAAAATAAATACAATTGTCAAAACATAGACAGGTATAATAGATTTTTTCGTTCCATGAAAAGAATGTTATTTCTCTCTCCTGCAGTTACCAATATTTGTGTGAAGCAGTAAATCACAGTGAGAAATGTATATTAGTATTGCTTTAGGAAGTCTCAAAGTCCATACAATAATTACTAGAAAGCAAAATGACTCTGTATTTGTAGGCAAACTCTGCAGCCAATCTGCACACAGCGATGTCCCACAAACTGCCAAGCAATGAATGACCAATTTAGTTCAAGGATTGTTGTCCAGGCCATTGGGACAAACATCTTTCTCTTTTTGAACAGTGCCACAGGATCTCTGACGTCCACCCGAACAGGCAGATGGGACCTCCGTTTAACAACTTATCCAAAGGATGACAGCTCAAATCTTGCAGTGTTCCCGCAACACTGCAGGAATGTCAGCCTGGAACATGAGCTGAAAAGCATTTCAACGTGATAAAGCACTATATGAAATGCAATGATCATTAGTGGAAGTAATGATCTCAGTGTTCTCTTAGCCTCTTTATACAAAAAAGTCTACCTTCTTCTCCAGGCGGTCAATCAGCTTCTGCAGTCTATTTATCTGGGTCATCCACTGGTTGTCTTCCTCCATCTGGGGGCCTTTGGGAGTAGGCAGAAGGCAATAAATATACCATGAGTTTATAATTGCATGTATAAAATGTTTGATGGTAAGGCTTGATTTCTGAGAGACTTTTGCCACTGGAGTACACAGAAGGTGATTTTTCATCCATCGGTGTTGGAGAAAGTTACATTGAATTATTTTTAACAGTTAAATTGAACATCCATTTCTGGATGATCCTCAGATACTAAGAAACTTAAATAGGGAAGGCAGTTGTGCAGGTTAACTTGCAAGTCTATTCCTTGCACTTTGGGCATGATGTATATTTTACTGACGTGATTGCATGCTGAATAGTTATTGGAGGAGAGCAGTGAGACATGCACTGGCTCTGTTGTGTGGAATAAAAATTAAACACTACACACAACCCTATTATTTTGTGAACATCGTAACAGCATGTTAAAATTACTCTGTAACCACAGCACAGCTACCAAAACACAAATACGAGGCATGAAAATTATTCTGGCACCTTGCATCTTTTTGTCATTACAATACCTTCCCATAAGTTTTGAAAAAATGAGTGTCGTTGGAACCATCAGAACAACAAGATGCAATTTAAATTGCTTTAAATTCTGACAGCTCCAGGGTTTAAACTCAGAATTGAAGGATCTTTGGATTTAGCCTGGAAGATAATCAATCACTAAGACATGCTTTGTATTTGCAGTAATTTGAATCAGTAGTTGGGCTGATAATAATAATAATCCTTGCATTTGATATAGCGCTTTTCACATCTTCTAGACAGCTCAAAGAGCTTCACAGAATATACTGTAAAGTGAATTGGATGTAAATTTGTATATACATATATACACAATATATAATAATAATCCCTCAAAAAGTATTGATCATTTTCAATCCATGTTATATATATGCTGTATGATGTGTGTGTATATATATGTATATGTATATGATGGGAGGAGGAGGTGGGAAGAAATACCGAAAGGTGGGGTATTTATTGTATAATCTCACAACAGTGTAGATCTGCATGTTGTAAATAAAGATTGAGAGATACAATTGGAGAATCTTGTCGGTAAACAGAACCACTTCACATGGACCTTCATTGTATAGTTCTAGGCACCCCACAGTAGGATTCCCACAGGTCACAATAACAGATTTCTGGTTGTAGGTAGAACTCCCTGGTTGCAAACTAGAGTCTGCAATACACTTCTGTCACAAATCATAATCAAATATAATAATACTTGCATTTGATACAGCGCTTTTCACATCTTCTAGACATCTCAAAGCTCTTCACAGAATATACTGTAAAGTCAATTGACTGTATATTTGTGGGCGAAACGCAGCAGCCAATTATGCACAGCAATATCCAATGAACAGTCATGGATTGAGTAACCAAATTATTATTTTTTTTAGGGATCATTATCCCCGGAAAAGCGATCTGCCAATCATCTAACAATTGGGTTCCTACTTACTGCTAGGTAAAGAGCAGGGTGTGGAGTAAGGAAACTTGCCCAACATTTCGCTCTGCTGGGAATAGAACCAAGGTCTCTCACTTGCGAGGCGAGTGCTCTAACCATTGAGTTACAGATCTCCATGAATCAGTACAAATTAAGTCTTTCCACCTCTCTTTGTCCTTGGATTGTAGAGACAGTGGATTTTCAGGTGATTTTTAATTATTCACTTCAATGTATCCAGCTCTTAAGTAATAGTTAAATCTGTGACCTAGAAGTGTCCAGCAAACTAGCAATAAACATCAATAGTGATGGTTATTTATGATATTTTGAGAAGCTCCTAATGGAAATTATACAATACAATAAAAAATTACATTTGTAAAGCGCCTTTCATGTCTGGGGGATGTCCCATGGTGCTGGACAATCAGGGATCTGCACCCGAGCTGGTGGTTGGGATTGCAACAATGATGAAATCATCTATCCTGTAGAATACTAGTTGCGATAAAGTAATAACAGTGTCATAAAAATAATCCTTGGCCATACTCTCGATTCACAGCATTTCTACATTGTGAAAATCCAGTTCACAATTAGTAGCAATTTCATTGTATTCATGATAAGTTTTCAATATAGTAGTTTTATTATGGGTATTCTGTACCCAGAGTTGCAGGGTGGTACCCAATACATTCCAGTGATACAATGTCTCCACGGCATGTCCCATTTCCAAGAGATGAAATCACATGAATAGTTTACTGGGCAACAACAACCAACAAGATTCCATTTATAAAGCGCCTTTCACGTCAGGAGGACGTCCCAAGGCGCTGCACAGTTGGGTCATGACCCGAGCAGGGGGGAAATGGTCAGGGTGAGGGGGGAAGGGAGGGAGCGAGGAGGGGGGAAATGGTCAGGGTGAGGGGAGGGAAGGGAGAGAGCGAGGTGGGGGAAGAGAGTCGAGAGTGGAGCTGAAGGCACGGTCAAAGAGAAAGGTTTTGAGACCGGCCTTGAAGGAGGAAAGGGAGGAAGCGGCAAAGGCACTGGGGGATGGAGTTCCAGAGCCTCGGGGCTGAGAGGCTGAAGGCCCGACCACCGATGGTAGGGCGGTTGGGGCGGGGGACGTGGAGCAGACCAGAGCCAGAGGAACGGAGGGTACGGGCAGGTAGGTAGGGGGATAGTAGGTTGGAGAGGTAGGAGGGAGCAAGGCCGTGAATGGCCTTGTAGGTGAGGATGAGGATCTTGAAATCAATCCTCTGGGGATGGGGAGCCAGTGGAGGCGAGCGAGGGTGGGAGTGATGTGGTCCCGAAGCCTGGTGTGGGACAGTACACGAGCTGCAGAGTTCTGAATGACCTGCAGCTTGTGGAGGGAGGTGCCGGGAAGGCCGGCGAGGAGAGAGTTCCCATAGTCCAGCCTTGAGGTGACAAAGGCGTGGACCAGGGTTTCAGCAGCGTGAGGGGTGAGGTAATGCCGTAGTCTGGCGATGTTCCGAAGGTGATGGAAGGCGGTGCCAGTTGTGGTGCGGATGTGAGGGAGAAAGGACAGCTCAGGGTCGAACAAAACGCCGAGGTTCCTGACTGGCTTTGAGAGGGCAACATGTTTCTGAGATACTGCTGACTGTTTGTGGGACACTGCTGTTTGGAATTGGCTGTCGTGTTTTCACCCACAAAATATACAGTCAAATCCCTTTACAGTATGTTCTGTGGAGCACTTTGAGACGTCTCAAAGACGTGATAAGGCACTATATCAAATGCAAGGATTGTGGTTTTTTATTATTATTTGTATTATTGTTCTGTCCTTCCTGATCCACATATACCATACCTAGAACTATAGGGAATGGCCCCACAGAGGATGGAAGAACTGCCATCCTTCAATACTATGAATTGTCACCAACAAAATCTTATAAAACACCAATAAAACACTGAGGCAGCAAACATTGTAACATCTAGAGCACAGAAAACACCATTAGTACTGTCCTATGGCTATCATTGCTTATCTTTCAAAGCTCAAAACACTTGTGACACATATTTAATGATACCACTACATCCAATTGACAATGCAATCAAATGCAAAATTCTTTTATCTTACCTTAAAACGTGTGGTACATTAGACTGACCTGAGCTTAAGAAGCTGAAATTTGAATTGTTTGGAGACAGGCTGTTGTTTCTCTGAAGTCTCCGATTAGATCTTTTTCCCGACCACTGAATCGACAGAACTTCAGGTTTCACGGGACCCTGCCTGTAAGTAATAGCAGATACAATGTTAATCTACTTGATGACTTCATCCATTCTTAATACAGACTCAAAGGTAAGGAATGTCCCCAAGGACCATGAAGCTGTCGTTTCGCATTGTTTCGCTGTCCTGTCAATTGTTGCTGCTTTAATAGAAAGAGGTTTTGATAGTCTCTTATCACATATGATTAACCTCCAACAACAACAATCTTCTCCCTGTCCTGTGGCATCAAAGACTTGATGTTTCTCTTGGTTTAAGGCTTAGACCTCTATATAGGACTTCACAATAAATGAAGGATTTCATTACCCTTCACAAGAAATATTGTGAAGTGAAGTGACTTTTTTTCAAACAATTAACAGATTTTATGTTAGGCCTGCACTCTCCACAAAAGAATTCAATTGCAAAGCTGCAAGAGAACTGACGTGCAAAGTCCACCTACAATGGGATTTTACATTATAAGTGCACAGTACAAAGTACACTACAAAAACATTTTTCAGAGATAAACAGCAAACCAATGCACTTTTGCAACATAAAAATTCAAGTAAAGATGAAAGCTTTTTAGAGGAAATGAATTCATGTCAAAATCTTCTCATCGCTAAGTGGAGGCACATTGATTGTATTGTACAGTTTTAAAAAGACCTGTGGAAAACTGGCTTCCAATTTAAAACTGAATTTAAGATTTTTTCCCCCTGAATTTCTGCACAATTTTAATTTTTTAAGACAGTAATCTTAAACTATAGCCTAAGACTATCAGCAATTTTGAGTCTCTAATGCCTCAGCACAAGAATAAGATTATTGTTGATGGCCAATCATGCAATTGACAGGAAAATGCTCTTGGTGTTTGAACCCACTGCTTGCAGCTGAGGCAAGTGAGCAAGGGAGCAGACTAGTGTGGGCAGATGTTAAAATGAATGCATTCACTTGTAATATTAAATCTATCAAAGACAGTTATCCAATGAAGCATCACCAACATTTATCTAAGAACTCAGCTGTTTGTATATTTCAATGAATAGATTCTGTGAATAGGCATTTCGCCCACAAAGTACACAATCACCTCACAGAATATTCTGTGAAGCGCCTTGAGATGTCTCAATGATATGATATATCAAAATGCAAGGATTATTATCATTGATGTCCATGAAAATTGTCAATACAGCTTTGGAGTGAGCAATACAAAAAATGAGAGGGGGTGGGGGAAGATTTACAAGGTAGAGTTTAGAAGTGCTCATGAATTTCACAATGGAATCATTGGTTAAGGGCAGCAACCATTGGCATAGTTTGTTGGCTGCTCATTTCAGAGGCTTCAGGTGTATTGAAAAGGTACTTTGTTCAGCTGTTCATCTTTAAACTGCTACTGGAAAATGTTGGCTAATTGACCACTTAGTCTATTAACTTATTATTAACTACCAATAATACTACTATTAACTAGACTTGTTGACTAATCGATGAGCCACTCAAATCTGTGCAGCATGCTGGTGAACAGATTGGCCGGCAACAGCCTGTTCCTGCTCCCATCAGGAGCAAGCATTCACTTTATCACAAAAACTGAAATGGTTGTCGTTCGCCACAGGTTAAATAGATTGGTGTTGCTGGGACAGGTATTTTGCCAATTCAAATCCAGTATTCAATATATGCACTTTATATATGCGTATGGAGTGGTGTAATTAACAAACAATGAACACTTCGGAGTCTCACCATATTGTTGCTGAAATATTGTGGCAAACACAAAGTGAGCCATTGTGTCAATGAGAAATCTGTGTGTTTCTAAAGATCCGCTTAACATTTTGACCTGTGATGTGTTAATTATCACATAATTAATAAGTCTGTTATTACAGTCAGTTGATACCTGAAGATACCTACTGCTCTGAAGCTGTGACCTTCATCACAACTAGACTAACACTAATTGTTTTGCGAAACACCATTTCAAGAACAAGAGAACTTTTCGACCACTAGTTCAAATAAGGAAGGGGTTTAACTGAAATTTCAGTAAACTGATAATCATGATAAAAGCCCTGCACTAAAATTCTGCTCCGGCCCGAACAACAGTGCTTCAATATACCAGAAACATAGGAAACCAACTGAATAGTCAGTTTCTTCAACTCTGTTAACTAAAAACCTGCATGTTTAATGGCAGATTAGATCTCAGATCAGAGGGTCAAAGATGTAAGATGGGGTATTCAACCTTAGAAAGAGACCATTCAGCCTACTATTTTTGGATACTTGCCCCAGTTTACTTTATTTCTACCTTGGGACCTGCTTCATTTCACCTAAATTAATCAAAATCATTGGTATATATTATAGTACCTTAGCTGACGTGTGGAAATGCTCTATTAAAACATTTTAAATTAATAAAATTACATTTGAGTGCTAAGTACCATCCATTATGCATCTAGTGAAAATTACATTTGAATTAACTGTCTGCAACTTGCAGTTAATGAACAGCTACTAACCTCATTCCATTAGTACAATACCCTTTGCCCCGAGTCCGACAGGTTTCTGATTATTTCCTATGGGATGGAAGCTTTGACATCTTATGCTAATGGTTTACTGCTAGAACGTATCATTGCTGCTTCCAGCAGGAAACACGACTTGCATTGTTGGGGCTGAGGTGAAATCTGTGCACTTGCAATAACTTAAACAGGGAGATGGTTTGTTTTTCTAATGATTTTAAAGGGCCAAAAGTGCGACCTGCTCGCTAATATTATTTCCATATGTAATATAATAATACTTACATTCAATATTGCACCCTATCACATCACCAAGTCATCTCAAAGCGTGTCACAGGATATACCGTAAAGTGGTGTGAACGTGTATTTTGTAGGTGAACCTGGCGTTCAATTATCACACAGCAATGTCCCACAAATAGCCATGGAATGAATGACCAGACCTATTTGGACCAGTTCGAAATTTAAGAATGGTCTAATTGAAACCTTTCTTCACTTACCCCTGTATTTACCAGGGTGTATGTCACATCCTATTTGATTTATGCTTTGCACAGGTAGACAACACATGTGATTGAATTTCACCACCATGATTGGAAAGTGTTCTCTTTTAATATCTGGTCAAATGTCCAGTAAATTGTTTGGTCAGAGCTTCAAGACCACCTCAAATGAGACTTGATTTACCTGATTGATTCAACAATTTCAGACCATAACAGCTCACCCTGCTTCTGTGACCATTACCACATTATCTTGGTCCCAGACACACCTTTTCTCCCTCTGGTCTATCTGTATTGCTGCAATCTTTACCACCTCCCTTTGTTTTGCATTATTAACACCTCCTTTCTCCTGTTTTGTTGCAATCCCCCCTTTGTTTTGTATCATTAACACCTTTTTAACCCATCATCCTCTGTCCTCTACCCAATTTTCTCCTTTGTCTTCCTTGCCCTGCCTCCCCCTCTCTGTTAGCCCTTAAAAGCCTCTCCCTCCCAACATGCCCCAATTCTGATGAAGGATCGTGGCCCCTAAACATTGACTCACTTTCCCTTCTCAATAGATGCTGTCTGATCTGCTGAGTGTTCCCAGAGACTTCTGTTTTTGTTTCTTGATTTACTTCTCCTCAGCACGGTACCCGTTGCCTTTGTTCCTCCGGGTCTGGCCTCCTCCTTATCCACCGAGTCCTCCGCTCCACCCTCGGCGGCCGTGCCTTCAGCCACTGTGCCCCGAGGCTCTGTAACTGCCTTCCTCACTCCCTTCGTCTCACTCCCTCCCTTCCCATTTTCAAGTCTCTGCTGAAGACCTTTCTTTTCAATCGCGCCTTTGGTCACCTTCCCCCCCCTCCCCCTGGCTCGGCCCCAGGATCCGTTACTGTAAAGTGCTTTGAGTATGTCTGCGGATGACATCCCCAAGAGGGAGCATGTAGATCAGAAAGAGTAGGGGGTCAAGGATGGATCCTTGGGGTACCCCACAGGTGACCGGGTGAGAGCGGGTGGAGAAGCCGTTTGTGCAGATGTACTGCTGGCGGTTTGTGAGGTAGGACTCGAACCAGGCGAGTGCGGTCCCACTGAGAAGGAAAGGCAGTGGAGGAGGATGGCGTGATCGACTGTGTCGAACACGGCGGAGAGGTCCAGGAGAACAAGGAAGCAGAAGGAGCCCTGGTCACAGATAGAGAGGATGTCATTTGTGACTTTCACAGGCGCAGTCTCTGTCCTGTGTACAGGGCGGAAACCGGACTGGAGGGGTTCGAAGAGGGAGTGGGAGGAGAGGTGTGCGCGAAGTTGGTTGGCAACAACGCGTTCTACAACTTTTGAGAGGAAGGGCAGCACTGTTGTGAAAATCCTTTCATTGTATTAGTACTGTGACAAACTTTGCACCAGATTCTGTCATATTTTGCTTTAAAAAAACCATGCTTTGCTTGGCTGAAATAAATTAAATTAACTTCAGTCAAGCTTTAGTTGCAATTTGCGATCATCTACAAATTCAATCTCTACCCTTCACGTTAAAAATCCTGTGAAACGCTTTGAGCCATTTTGACAATGTGACAAGGAGCTATATCAAATGCAAGGATTTAATATTCATTATAATTTCACAGCAGCATCAGAGGAATTGTTTACATGACACAGCATCAATGTCCTGCATATGGGTAAAAGTAAAAGTGGATGCTTCTTTATTTGTCCTCTGTCATGAATGATGACACTCAGAAAGTCTTGGACTGTCAGAAATCAGAACTAAATCAACTGGAGAATCTGTAATGAGACAAAGGGATGGCAACGTGACATTCAATGTTATAATTACCGCTGGTAATAATTTTCACATTCTAGCATATTCTGCTCATGGCGATGTCCTAATGATAATCCTTGCATTTGATATAGGGCCTTATCATGTCTTCTAGGCATTTCAAAGAGTTTCACAGAAATATACTGTAAAGTGAATTGACTGAATATTTTGTGGGCAAAACAGTCCTAGTCCATAACTGGCCAAGAAAAAACATCCCCCATTCCCCCAGCTATGTGAGAATAGTTGATACAGTACTTGATGGCTTTACAATTCAAGTAAAACTGGCTTTCA